AGTACGCATGAGACCTTAGAACTCATATCTCAAGGTGGGTGGCGGCATTTACGTTGTAGATGTCTATGGGCTCCATTTACCACTTAACATCAGGTGGGTTGTGAGCTAGTCCACCTATACAAGCAATAAAAACAAAATTCAAAGCGGTCGACTGAAAACGATTTTTCAATAGCACCCAGTAACCGTTCAAACGTGGTAATGGTTACTAAGTCTCTACGTGAAGATTACGTAAAGCGTGTAATTTCTATTAGAGCCTCTACAAATCTGTTGTTTGTGGTTTGTTTAGAGAGCGACACTTTGCCAACAACTTCTTTCCACATAAGGTTTGTTTGGGAAATTGACATTTTTAAACGTGTTTGTTTGTGTTAGCAAAACCTTTGTATTCCGTAATTATGTGCCGAAGAGGTGAGAGCACATATTCTCCTTTTTTTATTTTTATTGCTTAGATGTGTGGACGAGCTCACAGCCCACCTGGTGCTAAGTGGTTACTGGAGCCCATAGACATCTACAACGTAAATGCGCCACACAACTTGAGATATAAGTTCTAAGGTCTCAGTATAGTTACAACGGCTGCCCCACCCTTTAAACCGAAACGCATTACTGCTTCACGGCAGAAATAGGCGAGGCGGTGGTACTTACCCGTGCGGACTCACAAGAGGTCCTACCAGTTGGAATGGATACCATCCTATCATGAAGGACTCGAAATTTCACTGTAATCTTATGGGAGAGTCATCGCTCATAGACACCAGAAATACTAGGGGCACGAGCAAGGTGTGACCAATTTCAATTTTCAAATAGCACGTTCGGAAAACATCGAAAACATATGTCAAAAACTACCTCCATTGAAATTGACCGAAAATCGTTCATTCCGTTTTTTTTCGGGTTTAATTCCCTCAAATAAAATTCACGAATTCACTGTACTATATAACTTAGCATAATCATAAGCGATACGAGTGATTCCATTCAGTTTTTAATTACAGAAAACATTTCAATATGTAACTATACCTATATTCTAACTAATTCATTATTTATTAAACAACTAGCTGACCCGGCAGACTTTGTAGTGCCTCAATCGATAAATAAAAGACCTAAACTTTTGTATAAAATAAACTTAAAACAAACAAAAGGAATCCGTCCGACGGGGGGACATCAAAAGAAAAACAAAATTGTTATTTTTATTTAATTCAGAGCATTTTAATATTTGTCTAAACCTTATAAACCTTCTGTGGACTTCCACAAAAAATTTAAGACCAAAATTAGCCAAATCGGTCCAACCGTTTTCGAGTTTTAGCGAGACTAACGAACAGCAATTCATTTTTATATATATAGATAAAATATTTAACCATAGATTTTCTGCACATAAAAATGTAAACAATTTCGCTATTACAAAAGTAGACGTTGCATAAACATTAAAAATAATAACAACTAAAACGTTAAGATGAATTACGTAAATTTTCAAACCATTTTCATGTTTATCCCAGTAAAATATTTTAGGGAAAATTAACTAGAAAAAGTATTTAATACATCCCGAATGCAGATCCTTCTTTTTATTTGGAACCGTTAAAAAAAAAATATTGAAATTCATTGTGTAAATTACATCCCCTCAATCTATACACTACTTAGAAATAAACCCTTAAAATTTTGATTATATCGAATAATAAATTTGATATATTACATTGTCTATAAAGACAAGATGTGAAATTCACTTTCATAGAAATGATTACTTTTAAAAATATTTCCGTAAGTCAACGATCGCGTTTGAAAATTGAAGTAAATTTAAAAAGAAACTTCGCGTGATTTCGTAATGTAAACAAATAAATAATACCGATGAGAAACCAATCGAATAAATAATACTTGGTGTTTGTCACTTTCACCGGCCCTCGCGAAGCCACTGACTGGTATTAGTTACGCTACATTTTCACAATTTCCACTGCTGACGATTCGTTTTATCAATGAAACTGCTTGACGATTTCAAATGAATCGTTTTTCAAGACATTTGTTTCTTTCTTACTAACAAATTTAGCCATAAACTTATCGTCATAAAAATTATGTATAATATTATATTATAACTTTAATCCACCGCAGAGTTTACTGGTGGCCATGAGGCCTTTCCAGTTTCACAAGGACATGTCGGCGAGCAAGGGATCATGAGTCACAACATATCGTGGGTTAAAGTTTTAGAGGATTTTTAGTAAAATTTTGTTTTGCTTCGATTGGAAGCCAAGATCGCGACCCCGTATGAATTGATTACCGAAACTCATAAAAACACTATGCGATTGTCACCTGAGATTCGTCAAGTTGAGGTCTCAATAAACTCATATTGCATAACGAGTGTATGCTAAAATTAAACAAACTCAAAGTAGCGCATTTATTTGGCGCTCGATTCTAAACAGCGTGTATTAGATAATAGGCATACAATTATTTTAAAACTATTCAACATATTATCTCGGTTGCACTAAATTACGATAAAATATTCTTTTAGTTTTATAACTTAATGAAATATTCAAACATTATCATGATTGGAAAGTTTTTATTTATTTTTTATTATTGTCCATAGACATCTACAACGCAAATGCTGCAACCAATCTTGAGTCATGAGTTCTAAGTCTCAGTTCTATAGTACAACGGCTGCCCTACTCTTCGAACCGAAAAGCATTACTGGCTCACGGCAGAAATAAGTGATGGTGGATGGATGGTGATACTTACCCCTGTGGATTGTAATTTTGCAGGTTTGATTTTTATTACACAATGGAACGATTACTTACACCGTGGAAGTCAATCGTGAACATTCGTTGAGTACGTATTTCACTAGAAAAAACGGTACATACGAATGCACCGATCATCTTATTGTTTAGGCCACGACGACTTCAAAATTTGGAAAAGAGACACGATTTTACAACTTTAAAAGCGTAATTTTCGCCAAGTACAATAAATACATAAGACCTAACTATCGATAACGCATATGTCTGTATCCGCAAAATTACTATTTACTTCTGATAATTGTTTTTTTTTTTGTAATTTCAATATGTTATACAATATACCTACCTTATAGATTCAACTATAGAATACGGACATGCACTGGGTTTTGCAGACGGATGTTATTCAATTAGCACTTAGCAGTCCAACCCGGCCCGCGTTACAGATCGATCTCTGATCCGATTGCTACTTGATTGCTTAGAAAATTTCCTGGAAATGTCATCGAAATCGGTCCAGCCATTTCGAGTGTAGTATCTTAAATATTAAGTGTATTATCTGTGGTGTAGTATAGGGAACTTACATACATCGACTTATTTCTAATGTTGGATAGATAAGATCTGTTTTTTTTTATTTGGCAAAAGATTCTTGACCATTTTCGGCTGTCGTTGGAACCCTAAATACGGTTGTTTGCGTATCTATCTGCACTTGTTAGGTTACGCTGACATAGCTTCTCAAGGCTATCATCAGCTTAGGTAGGTTCAAAATAAAAAAAAACTATTTGCACCATGATATTCCGTTGTGTTAATTCAATGTCATGCTTCAACGAATGTGCTCGCGGATGCTGCACTAAAAAGAAAATCTGAACACTACGACGCAATATTTATGAAACAAACACGTTTACTTAAATAGTGACCGAAAGACAACAGTTGTTTTTTGTATCACAATCCAATTTAAGCGCAGTATTATTAAAATTATGTAATTTCGTGTCATTGCTCGAGATGTGACCTCAATCTTACGCTCAATTTTGAATTGTAAAAAATATTTATTTGTTCCAAATGAAACTTTTTTTATTGCTTAGATGTATGGACGAGCTCACAGCCCACCTGGTGTTAAGTGGTTACTGGAGCCCATAGATATCTACAACGTAAATGCGCCACACGCCTTGAGATATAAGTTTTGAGGTCTCAGTATAGTTACAACAGCTGCTCCACCCTTCAAACCGAAACGCATTACTACTTCACGGCAGAAATAGGCGGGGCGGTGGTACCTACCCGTGCGGACTCACAAGAGGTCCTACCACCAGTAAATAATATAAAATATCTTTACAAATTAAATGTAATTCATTTGTACGTCGCAAGAAGCCTTACTCGGAATCTAATATCCTTTCAGAAAACGATAATATCATTGATAAAGAAAGTGAGATCAGATAAACGAGTAAGTTGAGATAGCGAATATACAACAAGGGCATTCAGATTACTTATATAAAATAGTGTGTCAAGGGTCCCGTGTGCGTAGCATCAAGAACATAATGGAAAAACCAATTCGATTTGTATATCTTAAAGAGGAAAATATTCAAATCACATTGATATTACGTATCACAAATGGTCATAAATTATAATATGCAGAACTTATAATTCTAAGCTGGATGTAGAATTAATTACAAGGTTTGTAAACATATGAGTAATGTTCTAAATTATTGAATTATTTCTGTGATTTCTAATCATCTTTCATACAATTATAATGCGAACAAATCTGTCATTACTATGAACGTAATGACTTGTTGGCGGCAAAAATAAATTTGATGGAGGTGTCTATCCGAGCAGGCTCATAATATCTTAAATTTTTTTTTTATAACTTATGTGTGTGGACGAGCTCACAGGCCACCTGGTGTTAAGTGGTTACTGGAGCCCATAGACATCTACGACGTAAATACGCCACCCACCTTGAGATATAAGTTCTAAGGTCTCCAGTATATTACTCTTGTAAAATTTCCGGTTTCATCTGACTATATAAAATAATTCTTCCATGTGTTCATTTAGTCATATGAACAAGTGTTAAGTTCGTATAAAACATAATAAAACTAGAATAATTTACATTTATAACGTGGGTCTTGGAGGGGTATGCATGCGGGCGGAGCGGCAAAGACGTCGCCGCCGCGCCGGGCAACCACGAAGTTTCAAAAAAGCTGTCAGTCGATATAGCACCAATGAAATATATCTTACATCTTTATACTTTATAAATTATACACCTTAAACTGGGATAGTTTTAATAATTAGTTATACATTAAAATTTACAAGACTTACGCAAGTAAATGTCGACCGGTTCTCTGTCGGTTCGGATGTCGCATCCGTCGCTGGTGGCGTTCAGTCTGTACACTCCGAATTCTCCGACCTCTGGACGCAGCTGGCACAGAAGTCCCCTGGGCAGACATTAAAACGATTGAATCCTTATTCTGAACAACATGTGCTTCTAGACGTTCTAGACCACCGGTCGGGGAACCGGGGTAAATTACCCCAAATGGGGTAAAATGAATTTTTGGGGGGTAAAAATGAAACTTGTGAGTAAAAAGTATATATTGAACTTCTTTAGAATCGTTAAATTTTTAGTTATTGTTTTCTTTTCAAAATTATCATGGGGGTATATGAAAAATACTAAAAAGAAGCGATTTCGTTTTATTTTTTGTTCTTCGCCCTGAGTTAATCAACTTACACAAAAATATTTTGGGGTAATAATTAAAAAAGCTTCCCGACCGCTGTTCTAGACTATTCCTTTTTTTTCCTACCTAAGCTGATAGCCTTGAGAGGCCATTTCAGCGTAACCTTAACTAGTAGGTGACGTAACCTTAACTAGTAGGACACGAGTCCTAGCAAGAGCCGTGCTCCGCAGAATCTACCACCGGATCGGAAACGCGACCCACTGAGAAGATCAGAATCTGGCGAGAAACTCTGTGAGCTGTGTCTGTGGATTAATTTACTCGTCGAGCCCTGCGTCGGAAGCGACGGGTTCGACGAGGACGATGACTGAAGACTATTCTCTCGCGTCTAGACTATTCCCGTCCTTAAATTTGTAATTCGGAAAGAATAAAACCCGTATTTATATTTGCCTGCGTTATCTCTCTCCATAATTTACCAATCGATTTGTAGATTCGTTTGGTAGCCAAATCGGCGAACCAGACAAAATACAATGTTGTATTTATCCAATGGTTAAATCATTCGACCTTGCTCGGGTCATGTCATTTATCAAGATAAAGTGTATCCTGTGCCAAACCAGATCGAATTAATTCAGTCATTTCTTTCTTTAGTAATTGCATTGATTATCAGACATGTGTATAAACACTCATTTTAACTAATGTAGGAGAAGAAATTGAATGAAATTAGATTATGAAAATACAATTAGAACTCTCCGTTTAGAGGTATCGTTTTTTACTCAGGTGATCGGGTAACACACAGTCGGCGTCGCCTTTGACACATCATTTCGGGTCCTCCCGATCCACTCTCAATGATTTTAACAATGTATATTCCAGGCACCGCTCTCGTCTAAGCCGTCAAAGGCGACGAAGATTGCGACGTGCAACCTAACTCATAGGTAGATGCAACTCGTTGAAATTCTCGTCCGATCTTTTCAGTCGCGATTCCGATCCAGTAAAAAATTCAGCGAAGCACTGCTCTTGCTTGGGCAGATGCTTACAAAACCTATCGAGATAACGAAGAAGCCGGAATAAGACCACGAGGCTGACGATTAGGTGGGCAGCGGCTTGGCTCTGCTCCTGGCATTGCTGACGTCCATGAGCGACGGGAACCACTCACCATCAGGAGGGCCGTATGCTAGTTTGCCTATACGGCAATAAAAAAAATTAGGAAGAAAAAAAAAGAAACCATTCTCATAATTATGTATATGAGCTTCTGGTGCCTTTCCTCTCTATGTCAATTAAGCAACAGTAATGATTATACGTAATACAACTCACGTGGTATTCCCAGCAGTTACATACGAGTCAGTGAGATCTGTGTACACTCTCCACGTCGATCTACGTGTTGTGCTCACCACCCAGGACTCCTCAGTACCAGCCGACAACTTCTTTTGGAGTTCAAATGGACACTGAAAATAAGGATTTTTTTAAACCTAATGTTGCAGATGATGTGACAAAAAAAACCAGCAGCGTAACGACAAGTTCTTTTATTTGTGCGAGAAAGCAGAAAGCAGATAGAAATTGCTGGCACGGCTTGTTTTATTAACACTAGGCCCCCTTCGTGGGCTTTGGCTAATGGCAGTGACGGAAGGGGGCGTGTTAACATGGGTTGGTGGCATAACTGGCGGTAGGGCATGGCAGCTGACGCCACGTCCGTTATACTAAATAACATTAGATTTCTGTTTTTTTTAAATACCGCCTTTTTTGTTGTAATAACAATCACTACACAATTTAAATTATGACATCTGTGAGAATCAGCAAAGCACTGCTCTTGCTAGGGCTGGCGTTAGCAAATCCTCTTAGGTCAAGCCCGTGAACTTACCTACCCGTCAGGGCGTAGCTGAAATAGCCTCTTAGTCTACCAGCGAACATATAGGAAAAAAAGTGAGAATCACTAATATTGCGTTTCGCTTTTGAGAGCGGTTCCGATACACCTGTGTAGCGTCTGTAATTGCTTCGAGCTGAGTACGTTATAACATGTTCTAGTTTGTTATGAGAGCAGCCTTTATAACTTCAACCCTGCTTTTGAATTAGGTCTTAAACTAAGTAGGAAGATTTAGGGTACAAGAAGTGGATAAGGTCCTCTGGCATAGCTGACGTCCAGTTATGAGTAAATATTTTACTTGTACACTTGCCTAACTTTCTGACCTCATTGCACTTATTGTGGTCGCAAGGACTTAGTTTGTTCATTTTACTAAGGACAAAGGAATAAAGACGTATATTTTAACGCGGTTCTCGAGTTAAGAAAATTCTGATTGTCACACTTCGTATGACAATTTTTAATGGACAATGGACTTTGTGATTAAAAAAATACACAGAAACATGAATATTAAATAATAATATGTAATAATATTATACAACTAAAAATAACGCTGCATTTATTACGTCTTCTAACGCGAAATGTAACGCAAATAATGACTTCCGAATGCTTTATCTAAACTTATTTCAAGATCAAATTATGGGCTTAAATCGTATACATTTTACTATAGGAAATGATAAGTTGCATCTCAAAAATTATGCGATTTCGTAATATGAATATAATTTAACTATTCTAAATTAAAAATCTAAAACTCATTACCGCTTATTTCACAACAATAAGATTAACGAACTGCGTATGAATGCAAAACAGTTTCCAGTTTTAGTAACGATTATAAAACTCTGTGATGTAATCTAATTTCTGTGATCTACTCTGAAAGCTATCTGCCTAGTATAGGGTACTATTCGCGTAAATAGCTGATAGTTTCTCACACCACGGGCGTAATGGTCTCAGTGAATCTCTCAGGAATAGTAATTTCAATACCAAACTAAGACACTTGCTTCTTGCTTACTTCTATGGCTGAAATAGGCAGAATGAAACACACATTGACAATTCGTGTTTCACGTGCAGAATATCTTAAGACACAGCTCCTAGCTTCTGATACACAACTAAAATTTAGTAAACAAAATCCTCTCCTATTGTCAAAAACAATTCATAACAAAATGTTTTAGAAATATTAAAAAAATTTGAAACATTTAATTGTATAAAACACCCTTGTGGCGAAGTCGTTACCATTCTACTTATTATGCACAACCTACATAAACTAAATCAATAATTTTCTCTGGAAATACCTCGGAAAAACCGGTGATAGAACATCGATTGACGCGGTCCCCGCAAGAGGGGGTTGTTTTAATGGAACTAAATGTGCCAGCCACACCCAGCCATGAAAATTATATACCAAATGAGATAGTTCATTAAATAGATCATGTTTGGCACTTAGATAATTAAGGCATTATTAAAAACGAATGTTAGCATGTAATTTGAATTTCTCACGCTATATTTATCGATTTTTAAACATAAAAAGCCATTAAATGAATTTTGTAACTTAAAGTGCATCTAAAATGACTGACCTTTTCAACTGAGAGCGCAGTTCTTAAATTAATATGACACTCGGAAATATATTTATTGGTTTAAATGCTTATCTATGCAAATGATGAAATTAAATATATTTTTAGGTATCGATGAGCCTTTTGGGAGATTTGATTAATTCCTGAGCGAAATACTTCAGCGAGAAATAAATAATTAATTAATTAAAGGCCATTTTGGTTGTTTTATTGGAATTATTTTTAACACAAATCATCGAATGACGTAAAAACACCTTAATAAGTTCTTCCGAAACAGAACTTCCCTAGTTTAATGTAAAATAAATTTGCAATTATAAAATAAACCACAAATATCATACATCAAAGATGCCATTACTGAGAATCAGAAACTTCAAGAGTAAAGACCTAATAATACACATTTAATGTGCATATATTTCAAGTGAAATGTATTTCGGTATTGACTTTGACTTGTTTGTTCCGTTTGTGAAACGGTAGGCACAAATTTAAATTTGAGCTAGCTTAGCTAACTAACAATAGTTTAACTAACTTAAATATCCCCTTTTTCCTTACTCGTATTCAAGTTTTTCCAAATTGGTGAAATTTAAATACCCCGTAGGGAAAATATTCCCGAATATAAAGAGGTAAAAACATGATACAATATCCATTTGCACGGTACCTCTAAAATATTTCATATTTCGGGAACCTGCATTGTAAAGCAAAGGAAAAAAGCACTGTAGGTTATTGACCTCAAGCGTCCGTCATTATTTACTTATGCATTGCGTGCATAGGAAAGAACAAGTAATACAAGTTTACGTCCTCGATTCTTAGATAAATATTTAGATGATTGCATTTAAGTTTTATCTTCGTTTGCCTTGGCATACTTTACAACCTATGAACGAGTCGAAGGACGTTCAATAATACCATTCATGTTTACGACTAATAATGCGCATCAACATAAAAAATAAACGGTTCCAACCCGACTTATGGTATTTCAACAATAAGGCGGTAAATCAATTATTTGTAATTCATAAAATAAACCCAAACCGAAACCGCGCCTTGTTTTGGTTGAGAGTTGAAAGACAATGACTTCGAAATTTCAAAATTAACGTCGTTCAAAAACAAAATAAGCAAAATATTTTTACGTCAAACGTATCGACAAGCAATTGAAGATTGATTGAATTTAAGATATGTATTTTGTTGAGGTGCTATGGGATTCTGTCTTTCAAAACAAAATAGACGATAACAAAAGATAACATGTCACAAGAAGCACAAACGTAATCATACAAATGCTTCAAATCACTTAAGTTGTTGTAAACAATTGATGACTACTGACTCATATATTTATGTAATTTTCTAAGCAAGATATAAAATTACTTACTCTAAAACAGTCATCCGAGACACTATAGACCCCGACATCCTTATCGGACGTCCCCACCATGTAGGCCTGGTCCATCTTCAAGGCTGTCAAGTTCAGACCCTCGTACTCTTCCATTCCAGGGTGCTCCAGCCATGACATCACTACTTCTTTGTACCAATGCCATGTGTCGTTCGTCACTGAAGATGATTCGTTCATTTTCACAATTGCAGCCTTCGATTTCTCGGTATTGAATTAGGCAAACTCACGCGCGATTATAGTTCATTTTAAAATAAAAGGATAATAACGTGTTTAGCTCCGTGCAGCTTGGACGTCCAAACAGGTCAGTATACGTAGTGGAACTGCCGGTTTGGTACTGAAACCGGTGTTAGTAGGCCCGCGCGAGCCGTTGCACCATTACATTAACTTTCTGCAATGTGATCTTGGAAAAAATCCACGAACAATCATATGAAAGCGTAACCATAATAAAGTTAGTCTACCTGTTATACATTCCCATGAAACATGCATTGATTAGAAATATTGCAATCCATAATTTTCCGATCATGTTTGTTTGCAGAAAATGAGAATACTGTTATTTTATCTAAAATAATTGTCAAGCTTAAATTCACTTATTTTACAGTTCACAAGACACACCGTTGGTTTAACTGATCGATGGTCTTATAATGTATATTCGATAAAATTTGTCGACTATTAACCCTAATTAACTAAGCAGATATATAAATTTTCGGAATATAGTTCACGATAAGGTAGGATGAGTCCGCAAGTGCTTATGGAGTGGAAGTGACATGAAAGGATCTTATCTAATAATTAATAGAATATTTTGCTATTAATAAAATTATAGCTAAGAGTTTAATGCGATCCTAATTTCTCAACAACGAAAGAACAAAAAGTCCCTCCGCTGTATGTATAATAAATGTATACGTACATTATAAATAAAAAATATAAAATATAACACAATAGTTTTGTTTCTCAACGTTAACATTATTACATTTACATTATCAACTACCAGCAAAACGCAGCCAAAAGGTCGTCGACACTTTTTATGATAATAAACAACACATACACGACTTAGATATTATTTTACGATTCCCACACCTACTTCTTAATTGTTATAGCAACCATCCAATAGCCCACTTATACTAAATTTCACAAAGTTATTAATCTCGAAAGAAACTTTGATTTAAACGTTCTTAACACGCAAGCAAGCCTAATCATTGTAATTATTTTGTTTTTAGGATAAAACGCTTCTTCTATAAATGAAATAAAAACACTTTTATTAATTTCGATACTTGTAATTTTAGAAATCAGTCTGTAGTTTATTGAAACTGGATTACCAAAAGTTAAGCTTACGAATAATCCCATAGCAGGTATTAAAATATTAAATTAAAATTAATAAAATAATATATATAAAATATTTGTAAAATTCAGATAAAACTAAATAAATTTGAATTTGCAAATTTTGATACGTCTGTTGTTGTAGACGGTTTCCATGATTTATTATTAGTATTATTATTGAAAAAAATTCTTAACAAAGTACCACAAAAATCACGAAAAATTATGCGAACCATTAAATTATTTAGAATATGTACGGTATCTAAGGCGAAGGAATATCTTGAAAACGGGTGAGTTCAAAAATGGAACGTTTAAAAAAAAAAAATTATCAACGCTGTCGATTCATAAGGCCTTCAAAATGTTCAAAGATATTTGAATGTCTGCTTCACGTTACTGACGTCTAGAAAGGTGACGGTCAACGTTCTAATATTATATCAAATTTAACATTCATAAATTTTATGATGTTGCAACGCAAGCCATCAACCAAGCCTTTGTTAATGTTTTTTTAAGATAGCACGACAGATTTTGTTTCATTAACGCTCGCGACTATGATCAAGCTATTACGTAGAAATCGATAACAGTATTCCAAATTAATCCAAATAAACATTTTTCGTCATCATCAGTCCATGGACATCAACTGTTGGATGAATAAACGATATGTTGTATAAATGAAAATAGGAAGAATTCACATAATGATAGTTTCCAAAAATAATCTGCCTTCTGATATATTAGGTGACTAGCTGACACGGCAGACTTCATAGTGCCTCAATCGATAAATAAAATACACATCAATCAAGGGGACACATCAAAGGAAAAATAAAATTGATTGTTTTTATATAATTCCGAGCTTTTTTATATTTTCTCGCCTTTTAAACCTTCCCTGGACTTCCACGAATAATTCAAGACCAAAATTAGCCAAATCGGACCAGCCGTTCTCGAGTTTTAGCGAGACTAACGAACAGCAATTCATTTTTATATATAGAGATAATTTAAAGTAAATTTAAAAAGACAAATCTCTTGCGACGTATATATTATATCATAATCCTAATTGATAACCCGAATCAAGTCATTTTAATATATATATGAAAATTTTATTTAATTTATGTTTTCTGTACACACAACGAACATATTCACGACAACCAGCGCCTAGAGAACTTCTTTTACGAATCCAATGCTTAAAAATAAATTATTAAACAAATAATAATTAGAATTAGAAAATTTTAGTACTCCATTATTAACCCTTATGAAACCTGTTACATAATGTGCGAATTAAAACACAAATATATTCTGTAGCCTTACGAATGATGATAATTAAATATTTGACCTTCTCGGTAAAGAAAACTCAATGCTGACCGTGCCAGTATTCTGTTTCTACGTCTATCAGACACACGTCCTAAAATATAGTTGTTTATTCATATGTATACTATTGCATAAACTTAAATTGTGTGAATATGAGGGTAGCCTTTCTATTGTTGTGCTTATGCGAGATTTATCATGGTGCGTTGGACACCGGATATCCGGATGGGTTAATGGCTAATTGTAAGTTATATTCCGTTTTCGTTTTGACTTAAAGCTTATTATTTCTTAGCTTAATTTTTTTTTTTATAGCTTAGATTGGTAGACGAGCTCACAGCCCACCTGGTATTAAGTAGTTACTAAGACCCATAGACATCTACAACGTAAACGCGCCACCCACCTTGAGATATAAGTTCTATGGTCTCAGTATAGTTACAACGGCTGCCCCACCCTTCAAACCGAAACGCATTACTGCTTCACGGCAGAAATAGGCGGGGCGTGGTAACATTGTAAGCTAAAGTTTCTCGTGTTACCTTTGTAAACAAACAGCAAAAATGCAATTTTACAAATAACGTATCTTTGTATGTATTTGTAAGTGAATAATTCATGTAGAATCTTTTTATTAGCCTACTACAGTGGTAGACTAGCGAATACTTAAACGTAACTGTCAACACGCTAATTGCATTTCCAAAGCGTGCTATAAAAGACTTCATTAACGCTATAAACATAATATCTTTCAAAAAAATTCAAACATAGTAGTGTATACGAAGTTTTAAACCTGCTTGTACGATTCGATAGTAGGTTCATGAAGCAGCTACTCTTGAGTTGTTAGGCCTCCCTTGGAAGCGCTCGGGTAGCTGTTAGCAAATCTGGCCCGTTCTGACTGAGCCCTAGCTCGCCCACTTGTCCTTGTGAAACTGGAAAGGTTTCCGGGCCACCAGTAAAACATCATTAAAAAAAACCTGCCTGCAAACCTCCAATAGTGACATACCATAGCATCTTAATATACACCTCTGGGCGGATTGAGATGGTTTTCATTTAATTCAATGAGTCGACCTGAATGTTTAGAATGCAAATTACGATCTAGACGCGTTCGTTGCAACGGTGCATTTAAATTTTTATTCCAAACAAGGATAAAGAAACTTAGATTTCTAGTAAATTGAGTCTACACCAAAACTGGTGTGGTATACTATATGGTGTTAAATTGTATAACGATTGAGATAAAAGATGATTGTTTACTATCTTTCTTTATCAGAATATTTATCTTATTCCGAATATCATAATGTATTACAAAGGTTATCCGAACACTAAAACTAACAGCCTTTTTATTGATATTATTACGCGACTGTTGCGAGCTAACTTTATCCTTTAGGCGTTTAGGCTCAGCATACAGTGTAGTCAAGTGATAGGGGACTATCCATGATTCAAATCTTGCGTTAGGTACATTTTTTCCTAAGTAAATTACGTATTAACTTTATTATACGATGTAAGAATTCGATATTGTAATAAAACTAAATCGGTAGGCAGCAGCTTGGCTCTACCCCTGGCATCGCCGAAGTCCATGGGCGACGGTAACCACTCACAATCAGGTGGGCCGTATGCTCGTCTGCCTACAAGGGCAATAAAAAAAATCGATAAATTAATAAATTTGTTTGTTTACTGGTACTGGCTTATATTGTGAGCGGCCACTGATTTGTACGATTCTGCCGCGAATCGATTTTTATTCCTATTTTAGGATTCAATACGATACAGGCTCAAAGACAATAGTGTCTGAAATAAATAGTCATAGATTCAATTAAATCTAATTTAATATTTTCTCGTTTTAATGCGCTCATAATTCAGTGTTATCTTTTTTTGTTATTGGTTAGATGAGTGGAGATGCTTACTGCCCATCTGGTGTTAAGTGGTTATCCGAGCCTATGGCTATCAACAACGTAAATGCCGCCAGCCATCTTGAGACATCAGTTCTAAATCTCAGTTCTATAGTACAACGGCCGCCCTACTCTTCGAACCGAAACGCATTACTTCTTAGAAATAAGCGGGGTGGTGGTATCTACCCGTGTGTGTGTGTGACAGTTCACAAGATACGCTACTACGAATCTGGCTTCTATTATTTCATATCCCACAACAAGCATACTATATTTGACTCTAAGATTTTAACACTAATTGATGAATCTACTTAAGGTCCAGGAATGAATAAGAGTACAATAATCTCTGAAAAAACGAAACGGACGCTGTCGTTGGTTATTGCATATCCTTCGGACAACATGTTCGGTTATTCAGAGACAAGGTGCAAGCTGTCCGCGAAAGGAGCCGCGTGCGCCGCAAAATACTTCGACTTCAAAAAAAGAAAAACCCAGGTGCCTATTTATTATTCATTATTTTCATCTCGAAGATTTTTCTTTCGAATAATTTGTTGTGCAATGTAGAGTTATATAAAGAACCGTGACATAGTTATGTAACTTTGTATATAAAATAGGTAGGTTTCATTGCATATTTTGTTTGAAGTTTCAACTGTGTTAAGGAAAACAAGGAAATTGAAAAACATTAATTTCATTCTAGTTTTCGTGTAATTTTTATATTCCGATGAGCGGATGAGGTCATGGCCAACCTTATGTTAGGTTCTTACAAGAGCCCATAGACATCAATAGCATCAATCCCGCCACTCATCTTGAGACATGAGTTCGAAGTCTTAAGAACTGTAAAAACTTAAACGAATTATGTATCGGTTTCTTATTTATGTTTCTAAAGACTGAAAGAAAAGTTCTCAACACATCTCAAGCGCATCCCGCAGCCAATAGTCTGCTGTCATAACCTTCAAAAATAACCAGCAACAACAAGAGACAAGATGGTGCCATCAGTGCTTTCAAATTGCTCAATCACCAGTTTTTAAGATGGGACCTTGGAAGCAAGATGAGAATGCTACTATTATTGTCGGAACATGAAGAATTATTAGCTGTGGTTATATATATAGCCGATATCGCATACTCTAATCTTCTGAAACGGCTCTTTTGTTTGCCGACAATGGAGTAAGAAGGAGAAAGAGACCAGAAAAAGGGTAGCAAAGAAGACATGCCACTTTAGACGGCGTATTTTCATGATTTGATTGAAATTGAATTGAAATTTCAAATCTCAACTCCCCTCACACTCCTCAGTACCCTCCCCTCTACACCAGGTGGATCATTAACGACGACAATTTTTTAAACAAGTCATTGATTTAGTCATTTCACTTTTAGATTATAGTAAGTGGTTACATGGATACAACATTTTCGCCTTTAGCGCGATCAATAATAACAATGTACATCAACCTCGGAAGAAATGTTGCCATGCTGGATACCTTCCCCATACTCCTCCGGCCTTATCCAATGTGAGTTTTAATCGTGTTTTAAACTAAAATACAACAGAAAATTGAGTTTCGTTGAGTCAGTGTACAAATATCAGCATAGTTTTAATAACGTCAACGACACGGGAAAACCGAAGAAAATACAGTTATAGTAAAACAAAAAACAATTTATTACAAACTAAATCTTATGCTGAATGGTTTTCACAATTATTATTATAGTCTATATAGGTATAATGATCCTAATGGCGGGTTTCATAACGCCCATGTACCTAAAGACCGATTGTCACGATTCTTAAGACACAAACTTCTTAATATTTTCAACTTTAATAATAAAGCAATTCTCTTGTCTGTGCTGTGTCGTGAACACAAATAAACTAGTAAACCTAATTCATGTAATGTATGTTAATAGACAATTCTCAAGCGTCGCATGCAAAAGTTGCGTCTGCACGCATTGTATTTTGTTTTCATCTAATCGAAAGCAAGCTAATTGTAACCCAACAATTCCACATGTATATACGTGTACTTATGAAATAATTATAACAAACATTCGACGGCTTCATACGCTATCATTAAGTTTTTGATTTTCCTTCGATCACAACACGTTTATTGCTATTGCTATTGCTTATTGATTTACCAACTATTTATTAACGACACAGTTTGTTTTATCCTTAAAAAAGGATAAAAGCTGAATAAAAATTCAACTTTAACATTTTGTGACCGTTTAAAAATAACAGAAGCTAGTTTCGTATTAGAATGACGTTGCGTATAAAATATATTAATTCAACCTTTGAATCTTTTACTTACCCTTATTGCTTAAAGGCTTAAAGGCTGTGAAATGACTGTTATTAATTCCAGAGCAGCTCGAATTACGAAACCACTCGGCGAACTATTGGGAGAGTTTTTGGCTGCTTTGAACCTTCATGGTCTGTCACATAAACACCTAGAAATCGTTGGAGGCAGCTTGGGTGCTCACATTGGATACTACGCCTCCGTAAAATATTACGAGCTCACATCACGGAAGCCTGCGAGACTGACTGGTATGAGAATACTTTGCTAAGCATTATGGTGTAAATCAGTGCTTAGTTTGCCTAAGTTTGCCGCTAGGGCGCTGTTTCAACTGCATACAAATTTGAGTTAACTTTTACACTATCGAAAACGTCAAGCACACAGCTCCGATAAGCACTGTACTCCAAGTACTAAATATTATCTATATAGTGAACTGGGACATATAGTACAAGCATTAAAAAAAATGTTAACCTGAACAAACCTGAGATCGAAACCTACCCCTAAAAATTTTGCTATTTTCTTAGTTTACGCTTGAAAACGATCAAAAGACTAAATAAGGATAGTTATACATGCTGTTAACAATGTTGTTACAATGTGCATTGCTAACAGGCTGCTAAATCGGTGATACTCGGATAAGTTGCACGTTATGAACGCATTCATAAATTTTAGAATAGGTAACCAAAAAAATGGATATGTGTTATGTAAATAAATTAGTAAATATTATCTTTCTTGTAAGATCTCGTACGTAAAAGTTACAGATGTCATAAACATTCTTAATTTGTTTTTATAAAAATACGAAAACATAATGGAATAATTTTTGTTGTTGTCTGTTACAGGGTTAGATCCGGCAGGTCCGTGCTACCGTAACATGAATCCAAAGGATCGCTTCAACGCGGAAGGAGCCGTCAAAGTGGACGCATTGCATACTAATATCGACGGATTCGGCATCGCTGATCCAATCGCCCAAATAGATTTTTATGCTAACGGCGGTACGGCTTGTGTTGACTTTTAAACAATTATATTATCTTCATTGAACAACGGACTACAAATAAATATATTTGTAAATTATAACACCCCATATACAGGGTGTCCCAGAATGAATGGATAATCCTTGAACCCCGCACGGGACAGCTCTCCAGCGCTCAGAAAAAAATATCTAAAAAAAAGAATTCCAAGTGATACCCAAAATATGATTTTTTTAAGAAAAATATACGTTATTTTTACTTTACTTCACATTCATGTGCACAACGGCCACAAAGCTATGAAATTTGTGGCGTTTTTGGTGTCATCTTGTTCCTGATAGACTATACTACTAGAAATACATTAAATAATATAAGTATCTATAATACTTTTTTCAAAAACAAAATAAGAACTTTAATTTTTAACCTGAAATTTGATATCAAAATAATTTTGGCGTAGTTTGAGAGTGTTTCATGTAAAAAAAAAGTATGAAAACGTAAGTGGCCAGCTATTTAAAAAAAATGCGCAGCTCATACAGCTTACAAAATGGTATCATACATCTTTTTATCTAATACCACTACGAAGTTATTGCTATTGAGATGCAAAAAGAGTAAATACGACTAAAAATAAAAAATAAGTCTTAATAAATTTTAATAATAATAAAAAAAATCGGGTGTACATAAATCAAGCTTTATTCNGCGATCAGTACGAGGCTTTGTGGCGGACTGCCGGCGCAGCAGCCCGGCGTCACCTGCGATGACGCATTTCGTGTGACATGCGCAATCAGGCGCATAACGCATTTCGTGTGACATGCTAGTACGATTTTGGTCCCCATAATTTTCATACCCCGGGCCTATATATGTAAATCGATTCTAAAGGAGTAAACTCCAAAAATACGAAAACATAATGGAATTTTTTGTTGTTGTCTGTTACAGGGTTAGATCCGGCAGGTCCGTGCTACCGTAATATGAATCCAAAGGATCGCTTCAACGCGGAAGGAGCCGTCAAAGTGGACGCATTGCATACTAATATCGACGGATTCGGAATCGCCGATCCAATCGCACAAATAGATTTTTATGCTAACGGCGGTATGGCTTGTGTTGACTTCTAAGCAATTATATTATCTTTATTGAATTCTTATTATCTTCATTGACTACAAATAAGTATATTTGTAAATTCTAGCACCACATAATATACTATATGGGCTTAAAGATTGAATATCAAAAGCAACTTGATAAAAGTATTTTTCAAGAATTTCAATTCAATCTGAAACGATAGTAATATTCTAATAATGCCAGGCAGTGTACTGTTCGTTTGCACTTAAGTGTACTAAATATGATCTGCAAGAGTTAGTACCTACTAATAGTAGAGAGAAGTAGAGTTGGTACCTACTCCATACACCAAAATGGCTATTTTCCATAATGCAATTGACGGTGTCACAAATGTCATAGGTACTAATGTCACGAGGTGATAGCGTCGTAGATTCCAGCAGCTAGGATCGTAATAGGCAAAGGGGTAGTTTATGTTAGTAAAAATATATATATATATCAAGATCCAATTCTAAACAGATATGTTGTCAACCGTTCCATGGTACATTCCAATCCTACTCAGCTATTACGTTTTTTTTTATTGCTTAGATGGGTGGACGACCTCACAGCCCACCTGGTGTTAAGTGGTAATCGGGCCCCGTAGACACCTACAACGTAAATACCGCCACCCACTTCGAAACACGAGTCCTAAGGTCTCAGTTTTTACAGTACGACTGCCTCACCCTTCAAAACGAAACGCATTACTACTTCACAGCAGAAATAAGCAGAGTGGTTGTACTTATCTACCCGCGCGCACTCACAAGACGTCCTACCTCCAATAATGTTAAACGCCCTGCTTTGCCTTCGCGGTCTGGACCATCTTATAAAATCTGATTTGTCAATTAGCGATTCTTTCGTCTCTCTTGATCACCAATATCATATGGTCGATAATTAAAATTCCGCTTCAATTATATAGATACTCAAATTTTTATACTTAATTTTCACTACAATATAGGTATTTAAAGCATCATTGTTCTTACTTAGCAAAGTTTTATTAAATAAAAAGCATAGTGGTATTTGCCGCTGAATGCAGTTTGCATTGCGAGACCTAAAAATTATACAATCCGAATGTTATTAATTTTTAATAAATCGTTAAATCGTGTTTATGAGTGTGAATATTGATAATTTTTTCCAAAATTTTATGATTCGTTTAATATTCGTAAATATTATATAAGTAAGGCCATATAAGATATACAAAGAAGATGGTAATCCAAGCGATTGCATGCTAACGAAAGCGAAAGCCGACATTTTTATGATCCCTAATCTGAATCATCACACTAATTTTTATTCATTTTACATTTTTAATAACATTTATCTAAACGACTTGCTTAACTAGTATTGTTGACGTATTCCAGGTGAATTCCAGCCCGCTCTGGCTGGCGACTTCATCATGCCTTGCTTCCAGCTGTGCAGTCACGTCCGGGCCGCCATGTACTGGATCCTGGCCTACACGAACCCCGACAAGTTTCTGGCGGTCCGCTGCGATTCCGTCGCTGACGTCAGACACGGAAACTGCTACGACGGAAACATAACTAGCAACGTCTTAGGACCGAGAACCGAGTTCAATGAACCTGGAATCTACTACCTTCCTACTAAAGAGGTCAGCCCTTATTACCTTGGAAAAGAAGGCCTGAAGAAATCAATGTACGGCGTTAACGCTTACCTCTTAAAGCCGGCTCCAGACATAGACATGATTATATGACAAGAAATAAAAGTAGACCACAACTACAGAGCTTTATTTTATATTACGCAACAGCCAAACTATTTATTATGATTCGATTAGGCCCAGAGGCGATAATATATATTTAAGATTATATATAAGATATTTATTACAAAATCTATTATTTATTTACACATTTCACGTTAATAATAATTCAGTCAAAACAAGCTCCTCATTGACTAACTGTGCCCGTTTGGAACAAATGTATCGTTAATCGCAAAACACACAGTATTGTGTTGATTTTCGAAAGAGACATTTTCTCATCATTAAATAATATAACCGAAAATACATCAATCATTTATTTTGCAATTAACGATACATTTAATTGTAATGCAGTAAATACAGTTTAGTTTATTCATATATAAGAAAATGACAATAATTTTGATTATTCACAAGACGCGATTGTATAAATTAAACAGAGTATTGGTCGCTCCTGAAAACCGGTTAGTAATATTTCCTTTTCAAAGACGACAAGAAAAAAATAAAAAATTAAGAGGGTAATAAAAACAAGACTTCAAAGCGAAATAGATCCATTAACCTTAGCAATAGGCCCACCTTGACAATATATTCTTCAATTTAAAATTAAACATTCAAAAATGAGATATTGCAAAACATAATATATATAAAAAGTCAGTCATATAAAACCAACTCGTTGTGTTAAGGTCGGTTAAAAAATGTTTTTTTTGTTGGCTTTATACTTTAATTAAAAATCAGCTAAAGTTCGACTTATTAGAATTTGTCTCCTATAAAATTTTGGGATAAATGAATATTTAGCAGAACGACAACATTCATATATAGTGGTTACTTTAACAGTCAATATAAGTACTTCGTTTTGGTCTTGCTTTTGCTTTCTCTTGTACAATTTCGTGATTATAATCTTACTCGTATTTGTAATAATAACAAACAGTTCCATTAATACACATTAAAATGATAGGAGAATAAAAAAGGCAGCGATATGATCAAAATAGTTTCCCAGTCCAATAAAAACAATCAAAAGATTACAAAAAAGTGATAATGGACATAAAAGATTTAAAAAAAAGTCCCGCGGTCAGGTATATAAGTGATAATGGTAAATGTCATTTGCTAACAAAAAAAAACAATCATAAATAATACTCGAATCACAAGTATATTCCAATACATATATACATTCAGATCTCAAAATTCAAATAATAAAAGAATAATTACAAAAACATATTTATGAAGAAAAAAAAATCATTCATTAATGTTGACCTATAATGTGATTTGTAAATGTAATTGATCTGTGTGCGTGTGTATAATTTTTTGGGCATTGAACAACAGCAATTACAAAGTATATAATTTCATGATTCATAAAACATCATCACCAATATGAGTTTCTAAATTCATATTTAAGAAATTATTTTAGCTTCGATTCGATTTGTGATGTTCATTGGATTATAGAAATGTTTAACTTTTTTTTTATTCCTTAGATGGGTGGACGACCTCACAGCCCACCTGGTGTTAAGTGGTCACTGGAGCCCATATAAGTTCTAAGCTCTCAAGTATAGTTACAACAGCTGCCCCACCCTTCAAACCGAAACGCATTACACACTATTTCTACTTCTATACAAATGTGACGACAAATATTCGTTTAGTGTGGCTTGGGCCGTCTGGGGTGTTTTTTTTATAGCATAGATGGACGAGCTCACAGCCCACCTGGTGTTAAATGGTTACCGGAGCCCATAGACATCTACATTAGTTGGACAAAATGTGGACCAGATAAGCCATCTTCTTAGCGATTTAGTGCTGAAGATCTTAGAAAATGTACAATTACTTAAATACTTGACATATACAATGAATCATTAAATCGTGTTTATGAGTGAGAATATTGATGCTTTTATAAAAAAAATTATGATTTGTTTAATGTTCATAAAGGTTATATAAGTAAGGGCCATATAAGATATACAAAGAAGATGATAATCCAAGTGTCGCGATTGCGTGCTAACGAAAGCGAAAGCCGACATTTTTATGATCCCTAATCTGAACCATCACAGTAATTTTTATTCATTTTACATTTCATTATTATTATTTTATTAATTATTATTGATTATTTTAATTAGATAAAGGCAATTAAATATGAAGTTTTATTATTTTCTAATATATGATATTTCATATTAAAATTGCTTACGAAGTACATATAGGGCTTTGGAGTTATTTTGCTCAAAGGGAGCTAGAGCATTTGTGAAAAAGTGGTGTAGACAAAAATAAGTTTTTAAAATTTATAGCAAAATAAATTTCATACATATCAATTACTCGTTGGAATGTTTTACAGTATAAAAGCCGATTTAAAAATAGATTATACAAAGCTTCGACATAAATTCCTATATGATATGCATATAATTATTTAACAAAAATACGTCCCCAGAAATTATTGACAGACTCAGGTCAAATCCAATAACTATTTGCAAGGAAAGTCTTTGATAAAGCTCATTCGACAACATTCAACTACAAAACACAATTTTATTCACATCCCTAATTTCAAGTCGATATTTAAGATCGACTAAGCTTTTGGCACCGATAATAATTTTGTTAAAAATGCTTCAGTATCCTGATTAGTACAGTAAATCATATTATATATTCCATTGCATTACATACTTTCAGCAAAATTTGTTTATTGCTTTAGGTAATATATGTATGTATGGATATAATACCTACCACAAAAATTATTATATTGAATTTATCGATGCTAATTTAAAAAAAAAAACGATATAATTACTGTTCAACACACATCTAGACGCAAATAGTTCTAAGTGTATATATATAAAAATGCTAAAGATTATGTAATTCATTTCGCTACAATTTCAACTATAATACGTTCACTATATCGATATATCGTACGATATCGATATAATAATATCGATTAATAATAATGATATAAAAACACGTTTTTTTTTGTTATCGTTACATACTTGCGAGTTTCATTAGAAATTTATCATTAAAAATGTTCATTCACCGTTAATTTCTCACGAGAATCACCAGAAATAATCCGTGCTCCATATGGCCGAGCGGGCCAGTATTAACTACCGGGGTATGTACTCCAGCGGGTACCAAGCCACCGTCTCCTGTCTGAGGGGCAGCGAGCTCAGCGGTATGACGACCCCGCCCAAGAACTGGTTCTCTTGCAGCGAATCGTAGTGCCAGACTGTGGCTTGGAGACTTCGGTTTTTGACCGCTTCGATCGGTAGCCGGTACTCCAGCATCTCCATGAACGACGGGTGCGAGTTGCGCTTTAGAACGCGGGTCTTGCGTTTCGTTTCCTTCGTAGGGTCCGGTACGAGGTACACCTGGAATATACATATATACATATAATGTATTTATTTATTTAAATCAAAATACAGTTTAGCTTTGTAAAACTATAGCGATTGAGTTGCTCTTATAATGAGAAACAACATTTAAAGCTATTGCTTCACCGTTATTTTTATATCCTTTTATATTTTAACTAGCTGACCCGGCAAACGTTGTCTTGCCATATATAAGATTTCTAGAGAATTTCTAGTGTAGAAAATTTTTTACTAACTGATTGGAAGTGTATAAGGATGTGGAATATGAGTGAAAAAGGCCTGGAGCGCTGTGGACGATGAGGGAATGTTGTTTAAAAATAACAAAACACCAAACATTAATTGTTTTAATTTATTAAAAGTAATAATNTACTAAAATGGCTATTAAAAAATAAGGGTTGATCGTAGAAGGGTGAAACTTGAGGATTGTATGTATTTTTGTATGTTGTATCATAAAAAAATAGAAATTAAAAATTTTGACAAAAAAATAAAAATAAAAATTTAGGGGTGGACTACCCCTAACATTTAGGGGGATGAAAAATAGATGTTGGCCGATTCTCATAGATACCGGATAAGCACAAAAAATTTCATCAAAATCGGTCAAGCCGTTTCGGAGGAGTATGGCAACGAAAACTGTGACACGAGAATTTTATATATTAGATATTGCAAAAATGCTCTTTATATGTCTAATATTCTAACGTTTTAATAATCGAAATTCTATTTATGTCATCTATAGAAGAATGATATAAATAACATAATAACCTCTTTAAGGATTAATCGTATAGAGGTTACATACATTTAAGCGATATTAGTAACGCGTAAATTCGTTTTTGTTTTTTATTGCTTTGATGGGTGGACGAGCTCATAGCCTAAGTGGTTACTGGAGCCCATGAACATCTACAACGTGAATGCCGCCACCCACTTTGAGATATGAGTTCTAAGGTCTCAGTATAGTAACAACGGCTGCCTCGCCCTTCAAACCGAAACGCATTACTGCTTCACAGCAGAAATAGGCGGGGCGGTGGTACCTACCCGTCAGTAACAGATATCGACATAATTACACCAGTGCGCCACGCAGGGCACCGGTGACCTACTTGGCAGTCAAATTGAAGACATGAGTGGATGACGGGGTTAAGTACCATTTTTAAGATTTTTGAGGTTGATTAAATGAAGGTCTTATGTGCCTATAAGCTATATTAGACTTTAAAACTCCGGATTTAAATCATGTGCACTCGAAACACACGAGTATCATTGCCGAATGAAGAAACTAAACTATAGTAGAATTCTTTTGTCCGTGCAGTTTGGGTCATAAAACATAACCCGCCTAGGGCGGTGAACATGTTGCGCGGGTGCAAATGAGTCATCGGAGGCAGGTACACGGCGGCGGGGCGGTATACGAAGGGTGGTGAGACATTGTTATGTTATGAGTCATTTGTTGTACTTACCTGCAAATTATAGGACATATGTCGAAGAGAAATGTGTTTTTATGCATTCGCTGTCTGAATTTCTTGTGTGACACAATGGCTACTCCTTTATTTTGTACCAAAACTGCAGAATTTATTCAAAATAATACTTGCACGTGTTATTGTCAACAATGTGTTAAAAAATTTCACGGAAATAAGAATAAATCCCGAAAAGTTACAAAGTTTCTGCCGTTCTTGTTAACTTGCTGCGGCGATATGTGGTGTAAGTGTTCGATTAGTGATTTTTACTTTCATTTTTATCACTAACCCACAAAATGACAAAACTAACTACACTATCGATAACGCTTATCGAAAACAATAATGTACATCTCTATGCCCGTGAGTGGAAGAGAGAGTGAAATACTCGCTTCACCGCTCCGATTATTTATGACCCAAGCTGCACGGACAAAATAATTCTACTATAGTCAAGAGGAGACTAGGCGCGTGCAGTGTGAAGGCCGCGCGAGGCTGCCACCAATCCGGTGCGACTCGGCCCATAGTCAGGCTGCGGTACCTTGGTGAGCTGCGCTGTCTGGTTGCAGTATTGGCCGCGGTAGCCCCCCTACCTCATCCGGGTTCTGACCTCAGAGGGGATCGGACGCTTGGGCGAAGAGTGCAGCGGAGTCGCTTAGTGGGTAGGGCCTTAAAATTCCTTGGGCCCGCGGTCTGCTGCCAACACCTTGCAGATCGTCAAGTCCCACATACCCCGCGCGCCCCTTAGGCACGGGGACCTCGTAGGGGGTACGGCGCCCGACCGGAAAAAAAAGAAAAGGCTGCGGTACCTTGACGTAGGGGTTGGGCGGCGCCCCCTGCGGCGTGAGCGCCAGCGACTGCGCGTGCAGGATGAGCACGGAGAGCACGCCGCCCGCGTACTGCACCGACACCTTCAGCGAGCCCGACCCGCTGCTCTCCGGCTCCGTGCTCTCGCCTGGACAAACAATGCTTAGACGTGATAGTGTTAAGTGGTTACTGGAGCCCATAGACATCTACAACGTAAATGCGCCACCCACCTTGAGATACAAATTCTAAGGTCTCGAGTATAGTTACAACGGCTGCCTCACCCTTCAAACCGAAACGCGTTACTGCTTCACGGCAGAAATAGACAGGGCAGTGGTACTCGCGCGGACTCACAAGAGGAGTCCTACCACCAGTAATTACGCAAATTATAATTTTGCGGGTTTGATTTTTATTACACGATGTTATTATTCCTTCACCGTGGAAGTCAATCGTGAACATTTGTTGAGTACATATTTCATTAGAAAAATTGTTACCCGCCTGGGATTCGAACATCGGTGCATCGCTCGATACGAATGCACCGGACGTCTTATCCTTTAGGCCACGACGACACACCTGATGTTAAATGGGTTCCGCAGTCAATTTACGATGAGTCTCACCTTTTCTCAACCTCTGAGGTTCCACGTCCTGTTGATCCCTGAGCAGCGGGTGGAAGAACGTGTACACTAGATCGGAGTGGGCTATCTCATCAGCCAGGTTGAACAGGGAGGTCAGGAAGGCCCGGACATCACCGAAGCGACGTTCGGCGACTTGGCGAGTGTTCGAGCGACCAACGTGCAGACCGGACGGTAAGCTGTAATTATCGCAAAATGGATTATGATTATCGTCGTTTCTTCTAGATTTAGAAATGCAATTAATCTTTTATCTGTTGTTTTATATAATACGACATTGACAGATTATTAACACCGCTTTATTTATAACTAGCGTTCATAAAGTTATCTAAATTGGAACGTAATCATTGATACCTCAAGATCTTAGAGTTCATTTTACGAATTCCATTTTGTCGTTTGTTTTGTTATTGACATTTTGAAACAGAAATGTCTCTGTTTCCAAATATTTTTTTAACGATAGCGGTGAAGTTTGAAAAGAATTACTAGCAAAAAAACCTAACAATATGAGAAATTTGTTAACTAATATATGTGTATAATATGTCTTTGCCTATTTTAGTATTAATTTTCAATGTCTTAATAAAGAAAACTGCATTGTTATAGTAGGTCAGATGAGCACACGTCTCATCTATTATTAAGGGGTTACATTCACTTCGGAATAGCGTCACCCTACTTGTAACATAGACAATAACAGATGCAAAACTGATTGATCACTTCGTATTATTCATTAAGCTTTATTATATAACAATTATTGAAACTTAAAGAAAACTGAATTAACTGTGCGATCACACGTATATTGTGTACGTATTTGCGGACAACGAAAAGCTGATCAAACAAAAGTTAACCATTAATTTCTTTAGGTATGTCGAACTAATCGAATTTATATTATTGATAGAATAAAAAAATTGTTTTTTTAGTATATGGAAGTATTCGACTACTAAATTGACAGAATTATTTGAATTTTTTTTATGTAATCTACTAATATTATAAAAAGGAAATATTTGTTTGTTTGTTTGTATTGAATAAGCTCCAAAACTACTGAAACGATTTGAAAAATTCTTTCACTGTTTGGAAGCTACACTATTCCCGAGTAACAGCTACATTATTCCAGAGTAGGCTATGATCTTTTTTGAAAAAAATTAGGTATCTTTACTAAAACTTCAATAATGTAACCCAAGGTGTAAAAATTACCTAAAGTATTCTTTACATCGCGTGCGCTGCGAAAACTAATGATGATCGAATAAAATAATGTACTACGACTTTGTAGAACACATTATTATTTACAAAAAGTCTCGCGACAGCATATGTCCTAACTATTGTAGTTATGCCGCAATAAGTGTCTGTCAACTGGTGGTAGGACCTCTTGTATACCATATTGGGGTTGTGTATAAACCGTTATTATGAATAATTCATTCACATCAATCTCCGGTAATGTTAATTCGTTAGAACAATTTCATTTCGATAAGATTAATGTCATTGGAAGTGTGTCGGGGCGCGAGGCGGTATCTTATCTCTTGTCATGAGTATTGATTCAAACTTCAATGCAGTACCTGGTGTCGTTTGCAAATGTAAATATTTTGCATACGTTTCGTATTTTCAAATGGCGATTCTAAGGTACAACGAAAACCGTGAGTAGAGCGAAGCGTTCTGAATTTGTAACTCATATCAATTGTATTGATTTAAAAAAAAAAACTTTAGATTCGAGATTCATTTTTCAAAACTTAACTATTTATTGTATTTTAATTACAATATTTTATTTATTTATCGCATAGATGTGTGGACGAGCTCACAGCCCACATGGTGTTAAGTGGTTACCGGACCACGTAGACATCTACAACGTAAATGCGCCACCCACCTTGAAATGAGTCGTCTATTATCAATGGTGGCAATCTGCGCATTTGGACCAAAAATTTTTATTGATATGTCAATACAGATTGATTTGAATATAATCGTCTCCTTCAAAGAATACGGTTCAAAACCTGCATTAAATAAAGGTTAATAGTTAACCTATTATTTATCTAAGATGTCGTTCCGAAGAGTTTTGTGACTGCCAATGGAATACAAAGTCAATAATTCGTTTTTCTGATTTACCAATCATTGTCCAAAAGTCAGATTGCCGGCTTTGATAATAGTCGACTCAAATATAAGTTCTAAGGTCTCTGTATAGTTAAATATTATATCTAATGTATGTATATCTGTATATATGTATATCTATTGTGTATATCTGTATAGCGTCATTTCTACATAATTTTCAGTCGACAATACCGTGAACTACGTTGCAACACTCGCCTTCTTCTGTGGGATATCTTGTGTTACGATTATGCTAAAATTCGGAGGTTTTAAAGCTTCTTTAAACATATTCAATGGTAGGAAGAATGGAAAAGAGAAAACCGAATTACATCAGGGCTCATATATGACAGGAGCGTATCGTACGAACAGAGACGACGTGTCTGGTAAGAAATCTTTCTCAATTATAAACAAAAAACCGAGTCACACAATTCGAATTATTAATATACTCGGTATGCCTCAATATCCCCTGTCATGTACTATATCATATTTTTCAGGATACGTCAGCACTCCTTCACCCACAAAAACATTATCCCCAGCAATGGTGAAGCTGCCGGGACGAAAACCTTGTTGTCTGCTGACCACACGACCCACTAAGAGCCTCGGCAATCTCACGTTAGCCACTTCGAGTACAATGAAGGCAGTTCCGAATCAAAACGCAACGGACGTATCAACCGACCCGAGGGGCGAGGGAGATAGGGAGATAAAGAATCCTTCGCACAAACAACGTGAGAAAGAACGCAAAAGACTCGAGAAGCAACGACTGGACGAACAGAAAGCTATCGAACGGACGACACGTGAACAGGCTAAAGTGGAAAAGATAAAGAGAGAGAAAGAAAAGAAACGACTGGAAGAGGGAAAGATAAAAGATAAGAAACGTAAAGCGCCGCAGCCGCAACAGCAGAGCGTCCCCTCACTGGGACATGGCTCCGCTAAATACTCGACAAACACTTTGGACAGTTCGATCAGTCGGAGCACCGGCCCCCCGCCTTACTCAGAAACAGCGACGGAGCTAGTAAAGCTGGACGCGAGCGACGCAACACGAGACGTAAGCTTCGGCAAACCAATCGACACAGGCACTTGGGATATCGTAGCAGAACACAGAGAGCAACTAAACAGAACAACACACGCCGTCGACAAAAACAACAAACAAACAGTCATAGACTTGAACTACAGCGCGGGAAGCGATGACAAAACCGACAACGTCGTGTAGGAAAATAATTCACATCATTGTTTACTTTTAAAAAAAAACTAAAAAAACTCGCAAATATATCGAACGTAACAAATAATCTATTTGCACGATAAGATACGTCAAAAAAGCTTGTTTAAGAACATATTTTTTAATGTTTTTGTAGGTGTTAATAATTGTTATCTTAAGTCATCTTAATTTACTCGTAAAACGATATTCTAATATGAATGACTTATAAACCAAATATTTCTTTTTGTATATACATACGTGATACTAATAGATTTTTTTAAATATTCTCGTCTGGTATCGCGTTTGTTTTGACCTAGAGAGCTAAGGGGAAAGATCGCAATAAAAAAATACTCTACTAATCAATAACTATAACAATAACAAATAAAGTTCAACTTTCCAAACATAACTAACGGGGCGAGATATTTTTTTAAGAATCGAATTATAATCGCTGCGAAATTATAATAGAGTTCACGATTATCTCGATTCCAAATGAGATGTATTTAGATTTGGTTTGGTCTCGCGCTACGTACGTACATTCGATTGTTCTTGTACAATATTGGGTCTTATAGGCGACTAAAACTCTTTCCTCAAGACACAAGTTGAGCACACTGCAGACTATAATTATGGAGATCCATAGGTTTGTTTATATTATCGAAATAATCTATTGAATCGATATTAAAATAACTCATACATAAAAAGGTGTATAAACCTTTAGTACTAGTAAATTATGAAATAATTTCGCTGTTTTTTTTTTATTTTTTATTGCTTAAGTGGGTGGACGAGCTCACAGCCCATCTGGTGTTAATTGGTTACTGGAACCCATAGACATCTATGACGTAAATGCGCCACCCACCTTGAGATATAAGTTCTAAGGTCTCAAGTATAGCTACAACGGCTGCCCCACCCTTCAAATCGAAACGCATTACTGCTTCACAGCAGATATAGAGATAGGCAGGGTGGTGGTACCTACCCGTGCGGACTCACAAGAGGTCCTACCACCAGTAACCGCACACCTCATTGTTGTTAATGTTTAAATAGTTGCGGTAGGCAGCGGCTTAGCTGTGCCTCTGAGATTGCTGACGTCAATCAGCGACAGTAACCATTCACCATCAAGTGGGCCGCAAGCTCGTCTGCCTACAAGGGTTAAAAAAATAGACACAGACAAAAGTTCAGTATCTTTCTTTCTTGTATTTATCACCTGATAATTTTTTTATCTTGTACTTATTATTCATTGCCATTAATAAAAAAATTGTTGGAAGTGCATTCCCCATTTACAAGAAAAATATGACTAACAAAACAAAAGATAAACTGGAAAAGATAAAGCGATTCTAAGTTTTGAGGTTACAGGGTTATGGTCGAAGTTCGATAAGACGGCAAATACATACTGGTGTTAAATTTAAGTGGGAAGATGGGTACTTTTTGGTCCATTCACACTGGCATACTAATTTTATATTAAAATAAGAAAAAATAAATGAGTCATTAAATTGACATGACGACGTTGCGAATAGTATTTTTTGAAAAAATAAAAGATTTTGTTGTTAAACTAAATATCCACTAGATTTCGCCTTACCATCCCACATATATACACCTAAACGGTGCATAACACAGTTGAATATAGAGGAGGAGGACAAGGACTTTTTGGCGGGAATGCGAGGAGCGAAGTTATGTTATTTGTTTTATTTTGTCTATTTAGTGTTTCTTCGGGTTTAAATGGTAAATAACGGTGGTTTATTAACTGTTTAGTATCTGTGAATGTGTACAAATGTGGGAAAATGAAACAAAGCCGCTAGACGTAACTTCTCGAGATCCACCAAAAAGTCCACTGAAAAAGTCTCTTACTGAGATTATATTTCATCCCATATCATATCATCTCATTTCATTTAATTTAATCCCAGTTGATTAATGTCTCAAATTAATCTTCATTTCATTTCACTCCATATTATCATTTTTCATAAGAATAAGAATATAAATTGAAATAAGACATGACTTAAAGGTCTTAGCTACCAGGTCTTAAAATCATATAAAAAAAAAAGAGGAGGACAATAATTGTTCACCTGTGTACTTTAGCGAGCGGGAAGTGCAGACAGATCTTCTGGTAGAGCTCGGTGAAGTGCTTGTAGGAGCGGTAGAGCACGGAGGGCGTGGCCTGGCCGAGCCGGTAGATGCGCAGCGCGTACACGTAGTGCTTCTCCGGGTCGTAGCGCTTCTCGTAGCCCAGGCACTCCACGCTCACCAGCCGCCCCTCTTGGGTCATGCTACACAAAAAAAAGGAAATTGAATATCTTTATTTTCACGATGCGTAGGATCGTTTTGATTTCAATTACAATGAAACGAAAAAGATTCTATACAAAAAGATAAAATAAAAAAAACGATACGCGTGCAAAACGTAGTGCACGTGAATGAAGTGAAACTTCTTTTTCGATGTGTATGTACTATTGTGGTTTTCTTCATTTTTCATCCTTAAATCAGTTATGCTCTTGTAATAGGAAATGTTGTGTATAAGAGATGCCACATCTTCAACATTTAAATACTTCATTAAAATATTGGACGCTACTCGTGTCGTTTGTAACGCTCGTGCTGTCAGTTATTTTTAATAATTAATTGAAAAGCATGTCGCTTTTTCAAAGTGTTGATATTATCAGTGGCATAAAAAGAACGGAGCCGTTGCCTCAAAAAAAAACCTGTGGCATGGGTACACCTTTCATTCTTCCATTAATTTTACCGGTTCATTTAATAAATAGTCTTTATGTTTTCTACGACCGTAGTACAAAATCTCTTAAAACATGTTGGGATTGTTATACACCGCATTGATTAATAAGTCTTAAGTGTTCAGGTCATGACTATTTTTGAGTTGAAATTAGAGTATTTTGAGGTTTTCAATAAGATCATAACAAAACTGACGTTTGAGTCGTACACAGAATATACAAAATATAGGCTATATAAAAATTAAGTATATATTTGAATAAAGCCAATACTGACGTCATTTGAGGGCAAGAAAAGATCAAACGTAATTGATAAAAAAGTATTAATTAGTAATTACAGATTAATTTTTCATTCATTAAAAATGATTTTCTGTAGTCTAAGCTGTTACCTCGATACGTTTTTCAACGAAATAAAATAAAAAAAGGTCAATGCCCATTTCACACAAGGCTATCTCTTGGTATTTATTTACTTACTGATAAATAAATTCAATTATAAAGATAAAGCGGCGCTAATAAAGAACCGAATCTAAAATGGCGGCGGCGATCATGGGCTCTCACTCTAAACTATTGCTGTCTTAGTCGCACACGGCGCGTACTGCATGCAAAAAAATATCAGTTCAGACTTTGTTGTTGAGTTCGAGTTTTTTCACTTTCGAATTGTGCGACTTAGATGACTGGCAGCAAAAGTGTCTACGCAAGTTGCATCCCAAATGAGACACCTCATGCCCCATGATCATGCCCCTCTGCCAGGGCATAAAGTAAAGTAAAGTGCATTCTCATTTGTTTTTTTATATTTTTTTACAATAAACAACTTTTTCTTTCTATCTTTATTTTTATTTGTTGACCCTACCATCTGGTACATAGACGCCATTTTAGAGTCGTTTCTTTATTGGCGCGGCTTATAGATCGATTATCCCCACCTGTACGTTCGCGGCATGAATGACAACAGTTCCGAAGTGTTGCTGCTTTGGTCGCCACTCGCGCGCAACTGAGCCAAGTTGTGCAGGAAGAAATTGATCGGGGTAAATCTACAAAAAAATATAGTTCTTAACATTACGAATAATTAATATATTTATAACCATTCTAATTATGGAGAATTGACAGTCGAGCCTTTGATACCAATAATGAATAGAATTTCATTTTTTTTATTCTATTGATGGTTGGACGAGCTCGCAGCCCACCTGGTGTTAAGTGATTGCCGGGGCCCATAAACATCTACAACGTGAATGCCGCCACCCACCTTGAGATATGAGTTCTAAGGTCTCAGAATAGTTACAACGGCTGCCCCACTCTTCAAGCCGAAACGCATTTCTGCTTCACGGCAGAAATAGGCAGGGCGGTGGTACCTACCCATGCGTACTTACAAGAGGTCCTACCACCAATAATTACACAAATTATAATTTTGCAGGTTTAATTTTTATTAAATGATGTTATTCCTTCACCGTGGAATGCAATTGTGAACATTTGTTAAGTACGAATTTCATCAGAAAAATTAGTACCCGCCTGCGAGATTCGAACTTCATTGCATCGCTAGATACGAATGCACCGGACGTCTTATCCTTTAGGCCACAACGACTCCAAATGAATTGTAATTAAAACTATAGGTATGCGTCCGAGAGGGTTTTTTTTTGCTTAGATGAGTGGACGAGCTCACAGCCCACCTGGTGGTAAGTGGTTACTGGAGCCCATAGACATCTACAACGTAAATGCGCCACCCACCTTGAGACATAAGTTCTAAGGTCTCGAGTATAGTTATGGTGGTAACGGGTAAAAGTCTCAAGTGGTAATGGCTGTGTCCGTACTTGCTCTTGAGCGAGGAGTGTATGAGCCTGGCGAAGGCGGCGGCGGCCTCGGCCTTGCTGGCGGCGGGCAGCAGCGCGGCGCGCACGTAGCTCACGGCGGCGCTGGTGACGCCCGGCACGCCCGACAGCGACATCTGTGGACGGCCACCGGCAACTGTACGCTCACTTCCTCCACTGTCACAACTCGGCTTACTGCATTACGTTTAATAGCTAATTCTTTTTGCAAATACTTTGTTTAAAACATTATGTTATGACCAGTAATTGAAGGTATGAGTGGATGAACGGGAATATGATACAATTTGTTAATTTTGAGAGAAAACGGGCAATATACTTTTGTTACTTGTACTTTTTCTTCGTACATAGCTCTTTCACCACATGCAATTTCTAAAAATAGCAATTAAACCCGGACTTTGAAGGTCTAAAATGGTTTATAGGCACATAAAATTTAATTCAATGTAAAAACTCAAAAATCTTTTTTTTTCCTACCTAAGCTGGTAGCCTAGAACGACTATTCCAGCGTAACCGTAACTAGTAGGTAAGTTCACGGGGCTCAAACCTGACGACGTTGCTAACACGAACCCTAGCAAGAGCAGTGCTTCGCAGAATCTACCACCGGATCGGAATGCGACCCACTGAGAAGATCCGGCTAGAAACTCAGTGGGCTGTGTCTGAGAGTTAATTTACTCGTCGAGCCCTTCGTCGCAAGCGACGGGTTCGACGAGAACGGTGAGCGGTTCAAAAATCTTAAAAATTATACTTGACCCCTTCATTCACTCATATCTTCAATTACATATTGACATTCGTAACTTAGAAATGTTTAATTAAAAATTTCACTATTATTCACGCACTAAAAACATTAAATGCCACAGTCTGTTATGGACATTGTCAATAAACTTTTTTAGTATGCTAATGAGCTCTTTTATTTCATTTTTTTTATTGCTTAGATCCGTGGACGAGCTCACAGCACACCTGGTGTTAATGTCACTGGAGCCCATAGACATCAACAACGTAAATGCGCCACCCACCTTAAGACACGAGCTCACGAGTAAACAAAGCAAACGTTACTCTGGCTTCCGGTGCGGAACCCTTCGACTCACCAAAGCGAAGAGGTCGAGGATGTGGTCGTGATGCGCCCTCACTATGTTGAAGGCCATGCAGCACAGCTCTACGAAGTGCTGGAAGCGCTGCGTCGGGCGCTCGCCGCCGTTGATAACGTACACCATGTCGTGCGTCAACACGAACGGGGCACGGTCTCTGTACATTTTTTTTATATGATTTTATGACCCGGTAACTTACACCATTAAATAAAGTCTTATTTTAATATATATATTGTTATTTTTGTGAAAAATGGTAATGAAGTGAAAGGAGGAGTGAATGATGAAGGAGTGAAATGAAATGAGATGATATAGGATGACATATAATCTTAGTAAAATGGTGGTCATTTACTGAGCTTTTTCAGTTACTTTTTTTTTATTGCCCTTGTAGGCAGACGAGCATACGGCCCACCTGATGGTGAGTGGTTATCGTCGCCCACGGACTTCAGCAATGCCAGGGGCAGAGCTAAGCCGCTGCCTACCGACCGCTGACCTTTTGGAGGATCCCGAGAAGTTACGTTCAGCGGCTTTGTTTCATTTTCCCACATCTGTGCACTTTCACAGATATTAAATTATAATAAACCACTGTCATCAGGTGGGCGGTATGCTCGTTTGCCTACCAGGAAAATTTAAAAAAAATACATATAAACTAGCCTCTTGAAGTTGCCGAACATTTGCGCGTCTCCCAGGAACTTCCCGAAGTCGATGTGGAACAGGTGGCCGGAGGTCTTCAGCATGATGTTGTCGTTGTGCCGGTCGCAGATCCCGAGCAGGTACGTCGCCACGCTGTACCCGGCGCACGAAGCTGAAACGAAATTATTCATTTCCATCAAATTTTTGAATCCGACGTTACTAATATACATTACGAACTGTTACGAGGATTTATTAGAAAAGCTTTTAAAAAAAAGAAGTTTATTTGATCTATATATTAACTAGCTGACCCGGCAGACTTCGTAGTGCCTCAATCGTTAAATAAAAAACCTAAGCTTTTGTATAAAATAAACTTAAAACAAACAAAAAAGGAAAAACAAAATTGTTTGTTTTTATATAATTCCAAGCATTATTCATATTTTTTCACCTTTTAAACCTTCTCTGGACTTCCACGAATAATTCAAGACCAAAATTAGCCAAATCGGTCCAGCCATTCTCGAGTTTTAGCGAGACTAACGAACAGCAATTCATTTTTATATAAATATAGATAGATAGATAAATACGTGAAGCAAAAACTTTGTACCCCTTTCTACGAAAATTGCGCGGACAGAGAAGTATGAAATTTTCCACACTTATAGAGAATATAGAGGAGTGCAGAATGCATTTTTTTTTATTATGCATAAAAATACATTTTGAATCAATAAAAGAAACATTACACACTCTACCATGTATTTGACACAACATACACCCGCATATATACTCTTTTGTTTATTGCTTAAAGTCTGTGGTCGAATTGAGAATACATTAATATTGTTTGTTTTTAAATATTANATTTGAATATAATCGTCTCCTTCAAAGAATACGGTTCAAAACCTGCATTAAATAAAGGTTAATAGTTAACCTGTTATTTATCTAAGATGTCGTTCCGAAGAGTTTTGTGACTGCCAATGGAATACAAAGTCAATAATTCGTTTTTCTGATTTACCAATCATTGTCCAAAAGTCAGATTGCCGGTTTTGATAATAGTCGACTCAAATATAAGTTCTAAGGTCTCTGTATAGTTAAATATTATATCTAATGTATGTATATCTGTATATATGTATATCTATTGTGTATATCTGTATAGCGTCATTTCTACATTATTTTCAGTCGACAATACCGTAAACTACGTTGCAACACTCGCCTTCTTCTGTGCGATATCTTGTGTTACGATTATGCTAAAATTCGGAGGTTTTAAAGCTTCCTTAAACATATTCAATAGTAGAAAGAATGGAAAAGAGAAAACCGAATTACATCAGGGCTCATATATGACAGGCGCGTATCGTACGAACAGAGACGACGTGTCTGGTAAGAAATCTTTCTCAATTATAAACAAAAAACCGAGTCACACAATTCGAATTTTTAATATACTCGGTATGCCTCAATCATGTCATGTACTATATCATATTTTTCAGGATACGTCAGCACTCCGTCGCCTACGAAAACATTATCCCCAGCAATGGTGAAGCTGCCGGGACGAAAACCTTGTTGTCTGCTGACCACACGACCCACTAAGAGCCTCGGCAATCTCACGTTAGCCACTTCGAGTACAACGAAGGCAGTTCCGAATCAAAACACAACGGACGTATCAACCGACCCGAGGGGCGAGGGAGATCGCGAGATAAAGAATCCTTCGCACAAACAACGAGAGAAAGAGCGCAAAAGACTCGAGAAGCAACGACTGGACGAACAGAAAGCTATCGAACGGACGACACGCGAACAGGCTAAAGTCGAAAAGATAAAGAGAGAGAAAGAAAAGAAACGAGTGGAAGAGGGCAAGATAAAAGATAAGAAACGTAAAGCGCCGCAGCCGCAACAGCAGAGCGTCCCCTCACTGGGACATGGCTCCGCTAAATACTCAATAAACACTTTGGACAGTTCGATCAGTCGGAGCACCGGCCCCCCGCCTTACTCAGAAACAGCGACGGAGCTAGTAACGCTGGACGCGAGCGACGCGACACGAGACGTAAGCTTCGGCAAACCAATCGACACAGGCACTTGGGATATTGTAGCAGAACACAGAGAGCAACTAAACAGAACAACACACGCCGTCGACAAAAACAACAAACAAACAGTCATAGACTTGAACTACAGCGCGGGAAGCGATGACAAAACCAACAACGACATGTAGGAAAATAATTCACATCATTGTTTACTTAAAATAAACTAAAAAAACTCGCAAATATATCGAACGTAACAAATAATCTATTTACACGATAAGATACGTCAAAAAAGCTTGTTTAAGAACATATTTTTTAATGTTTTTGTAGGTGTTAATAATCTTTATCTTAAATCATCTAATTTACTCGTAACACGATATTTTAATATGAATGACTTATAAACCAAATTCTCGTCTGGTATCGCGTTTGTTTTGACTCAGAAACCTGGAGGGAAAGATCGCAATAAAAAAATACTCTACTAATCAATAACTATAACAATAACAAATAAAGTTCAACTTTCCGAACATAACTAACGGGGCGAGATATTTTTTTAAGAATCGAATTATAATCGCTGCGAAATTATAATAGAGTTCACGATTATCTCGATTCCAAATCGAGATGTATTTAGATTTGGTTTGGTCTCGCGCTACGTACGTACATTCGATTGTTATTGTACAATATTGGGTCTTATAGGCGACTAAAACTCTTTCCTCAAGACACAAGTTGAGCACACTGCAGACTATAATTATGGAGATCCATAGGTTTGTTTATATTATCGAAATAATCGATTGAATCGATATTAAAATAACTCATACATAAAAAAGGTGTATAAACCTTTACTACTAGTAAATTATGAAATAATTTCGCTGTTTTTTTTTAATTTTTTATTGCTTAAGTGGGTGGACGAGCTCACAGCCCATCTGGTGTTAATTGGTTACTGGAACCCATAGACATCTATGACGTAAATGCGTCACCCACCTTGAGATATAAGTTCTAAGGTCTCAAGTATAGCTACAACGGCTGCCCCACCCTTCAAATCGAAACGCATTACTGCTTCACAGCAGATATAGAGATAGGCAGGGTGGTGGTACCTACCCGTGCGGACTCACAAGAGGTCCTACCACCAGTAACCGCACACCTCATTGTTGTTAATGTTTAAATAGTTGCGGTAGGCAGCGGCTTAGCTGTGCCTCTGAGATTGCTGACGTCAATCAGGGACAGTAACCATTCACCATCAAGTGGGCCGCAAGCTCGTCTGCCTACAAGAGTTAAAAAAATAGACACAGACAAAAGTTCAGTATCTTTCTTTCTTGTATTTATCACCTGATAATTTTTTTATCTTGTACTTATTATTCATTGCCATTAATAAAAAAATTGTTGGAAGTGCATTCCCCATTTACAACAAAAATATGACTAATAAAACAAAAGATAAAGTGGAAAAGATAAAGCGATTCTAAGTTTTGAGGTGTCAGGATTATGGTTGAAGTTCGATAAGACGGCAAATACATACTGGTGTTAAATTTAAGTGGGAAGATCGGTACTCTTTGGTCCATTCACACTGCCATACTAATTTTATATTAAAAAAAAAAAAATGAGTCTTTAAATTGACATGACGACGTTACGAATAGTATTTTTTTTAAATAAAAGATTTTGTTGTTAAACTAAATATCCACTAGATTTCGCCTTACCATCCCACATATATACACCTAAACAGTACATAACACAGTTGAATAAAGAGGACAACGTCTTTTTGGCGGGAATGCGAGGAGTGAAGTTGTGTTATTTGTTTTATTTTGTCAGTTTAGTGTTTCTTCGGGTTTAAATGTGTAATAATGGTGGTTTATTAACTGTTTAGTATCTGTGAATGCGCACAAATATGGGAAAATGAAACAAAGCCGCTGAACGTAACTTCTCGGGATCCTCCAAAAAGTCTACCGAAAAAATCTCAGTAAATGACCACCATTTTACTGAGATTATATTTCATCCCATATCATCTCATTTCATTTAATTTAATCCCAGTTGATTAATGTCTCAAACTAATTATCTTCATTTCACTTCATATTATAATTTTTAATAAAAATAAAAATATAAATTAAAATAAGACATGACTTAAAGGTCTTAGCTACCAGGTCGTAAAATCATATAAAAAAAAGAGGAAGACAATAATTGTTCACCTGTGCACTTTAGCGAGCGGGAAGTGCAGACAGATCTTCTGGTAGAGCTCGGTGAAGTGCTTGTAGGAGCGGTAGAGCACGGAGGGCGTGGCCTGGCCGAGCCGGTAGATGCGCAGCGCGTACACGTAGTGCTTCTCCGGGTCGTAGCGCTTCTCGTAGCCCAGGCACTCCACGCTCACCAGCCGCCCTTCTTGGGTCATGCTACACCACAAAATTTTTTTATTGAATATCTTTATTTTCACGATGCGTAGGACCGTTTTGATTTCAATTACAATGAAACTAACAAGATTCTATACAAAAAGAAATAAAAAAACGGTGCGCGTGCAACGTGTTGCACGTGAATGAAGTGAAACTTCTTTGTAAATGAAGTGAAACTTCTTCTTCGATGTGTATTGTACCGTATGTGTATTGTGGTTTTCTTCATTTTTCATCTTTAAATTAGTATCGCTCTTGTAATAGGGAATGCTGTGTATAAGAGATGCCACATCTTCAACATTTAAATACTTCATTAAAATATTGGACGCTATTCGTGTCGTTTGTAACGCTCGTGCTGTCAGTTATTTTTAATAATTAATTGAAAATGAGGTCGCTTTTTCAAAGTGTTAACATTATCAGTGGCATAAAAAGAGTTGCCTCAAAAAAAAACCTGTGGCATGGTACACCTTTCATTCTTCCATTAATTTTATCGTTCATTTAATAAATAGTCTTTATTTTTTCTACGACCATAGTACAAAATCTCTTAAAACATGTTGGGATTGTTATACACCGCATTGATTAATAAGTCTTAAAAGTGTTCAGGTCATGACTATTTTTGAGTTGAAATTAGAGTATTTTAGGATCATAACAAAACTGACGTTTGAGTCGTACACAGAATATACAAACTATAGGCTATGTAAAAATAAAGTATATATTTGAATAAAGCCAATACTGACGTCATTTGAGGACAAAAAAGATCAAACTTAATTGATAAAAAAGTATTAATTAGTAATTACAGATTAATTTTTCATTCATTAAAAATGATTTTCTGTAGTCTAAGCTGTTACCTCGAAACGTTTTTCAACCAAATAAAATAAAAAAAGGTCAATGCCCATTTCACACAAGGCTATCTCTTGGTATTTATTTACTTACTGATAAATAAATTCAATTATAAAGATAAGTATAAGCCGCGCCAATAAAGAATAGAATCTAAAATGGCGGCGGCGATCATGGCCTCTCACTCTAAACTATTGTTGTCTTTAGTCGCACACGGCGCGTACTGCATGCAAAAAAATATCAGTTCAGACTTTGTTGTTGAATTCGAGTTTTTTTCACTTTCGAGTTGTGCGACTTAGATGACTGACAGAAAAAGTGTCTACGCAAGTTGCATACAGATGAGACACTTCCCCCTCTGCCGGGGCATAAAGTAAAGTTAAGTACATTCTCATTTGTTGAAGTGAAAACTTCTTTAGAATCGTTGTGATTTCAAACCGGATGCAACGGAAAAACGACAGGTAAGAGACACAAATACAAAAATGTGTAGGATGAAGCCAGCAAAGAATGAGACAGAAATATACTTACTATTTAATACAGCGCCATCTGTGAGATTTTTTAATACTAACGTGTGTATGAAAGCTCTTGTAGTGAATTTTAATTTAGGATTATACGTGAAATTAAAATATCAATTCACAGAGGGCGCTACCTTACAATTATTTACTAATGAAAAATTTTTACATATACCTAAGACGTTTAGGATAATTGTATTTTAATTTTGGAAGGTTTCACTTCTACTACGTGTGAATTGCACACATGTTTTTTTTTAAATATTTTTTTACAATAAACAACTTTTCTTTCTATCTTTCTTTTTATTTGATGACCCTACCATCTGTCAGTGTAGGTACATAGACGCTATTTTCGATTCGTTTCTTTATTGGCGGCGCTTATAGATTGATTATCCCCACCTGTACGTTCGCGGCATGAATGACAACAGTTCCGAAGTGTTGCTGCTTTGGTCGCCACTCGCGCGCAACTGAGCCAAGTTGTGCAGGAAGAAATTGATCGGGGTAAATCTACAAAAAAATATAGTTCTTAATATTACGAATAATTAATATATTTATAACCATTCTAATTATGGAGAATTGACAGTCGAGCTGTTGATACCAATAATGAATAGAATTTCATTTTTTTTTATTCTATTGATGGGTGGACGATCTCGCAGCCCACCTGGTGTTAAGTGATTGCCGGGGCCCATAAACATCTACAACGTAAATGCCGCCACCCACCTTGAGATATGAGTTCTAAAGTCTTAGAATAGTTACAACGGCTACCCCACCCTTCAAACCGAAACGCATTTCTACTTCACGGCGGAAATAGGCGGGGTGGTGGTACCTACCCATGGGTACTTACAAGAAGTCCTACCACCAATAATTACACAAATTATAATTTTGCAGGTTTAATTTTTATTACATGATGTTATTCCTTCACCGTGGAATGCAATTGTGAACATTTGTTAAGTACGAATTTCATCAGAAAAATTGGTACCCGTCTGCGGGATTCGAACATCGTTGCATCGCTAGATACGAATGCACCGGACATCTTATCCTTTAGGCCACGACTCCAAATTAATTGTAATTAAAACTATAGGTATGCGTGCGAGAAGGGTTTTTTTTTGCTTAGATGGGTGGCCGATCTCACAACCCACCTGGTGTTAAGTGGTTACTGGAGCCCATAGACATCTACAACGTAAATGGGCCACCCATCTTGAGACATAAGTTCTAAGGTCTCAAGTATAGTTATGGTGGTAACGGGTAAAAGTCTCAAGTGGTAATGGCTGTGTCCATACTTGCTCTTGAGCGAGGAGTGTATGAGCCTGGCGAAGGCGGCGGCGGCCTCGGCCTTGCTGGCGGCGGGCAGCAGCGCGGCGCGCACGTAGCTCACGGCGGCGCTGGTGACGCCCGGCACGCCCGACAGCGACATCTGTGGACGGCCACCGGCAACTGTACGCTCACTTCCTCCACTGTCACAACTCGGCTTATTGCGTAGCGTTTAATAGCTAATTCTTTTTGCAAATACTTTGTTTAAAACATTATATTATTATGATCAGTAAGTAATTGAAGACATGAGTGGATGAACGGGAATATGATACAATTTGTTAATTTTGAGAGAAAATGGGCAATATACTTTTGTTACTTGTACTTTTTCTTCATACATAACTCTTTCATCACATGCAATTTCTAAAAATAGCAATTAAACCCGGACTTTTAAGGTCTACAATGGTTTATAGGCACATAAAAATTTCAAACAATGTAAAAACTCAAAAATCTTAAAAATGATACTTAACCCCTTCATCCACTCATGTCTTCGATTACATGTCGACATTCGTACCTTAAAAATGTTTAATTAAAAATTTCACTATTATTCACGCATTATAAACACTAAACGCCACAGTCTGTTATGATTACATTGTACAAACTTTTTTAGTATGCTCACGAGCTCTTTTTTTATTGCTTAGATGGGTGGACGAGCTCACAGCCCACCTGGTGTTAAGTGGTTACTGGAGCCCATGGACATCAACAACGTAAATGCGCCACCCACCTTGAGACACGAGCTCACGAGTAAACAAAGCAAACGTTACTCTGGCTCCCGGTGCGGAACCCTTCGACTTACCAAAGCGAAGAGGTCGAGGATGTGGTCGTGATGCGCCCTCACTATGTTGAAGGCCATGCAGCACAGCTCTACGAAGTGCTGGAAGCGCTGCGTCGGGCGCTCGCCGCCGTTGATAACGTACACCATGTCGTGCGTCAACACGAACGGGGCACGGTCTCTGTACATTTTTTTTATATGAGATTTTATGACCTGGTAACTTACACCTTTAAATCAAGTCTTATTTTAATATATATATTGTTATTTTTGTGAAAAATGGTTATGAAGTGAAAGGAGGAGTGAATGATGAAGGAGTGAAATGAAATGAGATGATGTAGGATGACATATAATCTTAGTAAAATGGTGGTCATTTACTGAGATTTTTTCAGTTACTTTTTTTTTATTGCCTTTGCAGGCAGACGAGCATACGGCCCACCTGATGGTGAGTGGTTACCGTCGCCCACGGGCTTCAGCAATGCCAGGGGCAGAGCTAAGCCGCTGCCTACCGACCGCTGACCGCTGACCTTTTGGAGGATCCCGAGAAGTTACGTTCAGCGGCTTTGTTTCATTTTCCCACATCTGTGCACTTTCACAGATATTAAATTATAATAAACCACTGTCATCAGGTGGGCGGTATGCTCGTTTGCCAACCAGGAAAATTTAAAAAAAAAAAAAATTTAAAATACATATAAACTAGCCTCTTGAAGTTGCCGAACATTTGCGCGTCTCCCAGGAACTTCCCGAAGTCGATGTGGAACAGGTGGCCGGAGGTCTTCAGCATGATGTTGTCGTTGTGCCGGTCGCAGATCCCCAGCAGGTACGTCGCCACGCTGTACCCGGCGCACGAAGCTGAAACGAAATTATTCATTTCCATCAAATTTTTTAATCCGACGTTACTAATATACACATATACGAACTGTTACGAGGATTTATTAGAAAAGCTTTTAAAAAAAAGAAGTTTATTTGATCTATATATTAACTAGCTGACCCGGCAGACTTCGTAGTGCCTCAATCGTTAAATAAAAAACCTAAGCTTTTGTATAAAATAAACTTAAAACAAACAAAAAAGGAAAAACAAAATTGTTTGTTTTTATATAATTCCAAGCATTATTCATATTTTTTCACCTTTTAAACCTTCTCTGGACTTCCACGAATAATTCAAGAGCAAAATTAGCCAAATCGGTTCAGCTGTTCTCGAGTTTTAGCGAGACTAACGAACAGCAATTCATTTTTATATAAATATAGATAGATAGATAAATACGTGAAGCAAAAACTTTGTACCCCTTTTTACGAAAATTGCGCGGACAGAGAAGTATGAAATTTTCCACACTTATAGAGAATATAGAGGAGTGCAGAATGCATTTTTTTTTATTATGCATAAAAATACATTTTGAATCAATAAAAGAAACATTACACACACTACCATGTATTTGACACAACACACACCCGCATATATACTCTTTTGTTTATTGCTTAAAGTCTGTGGTCGAATTGAGAATACATTAATATTGTTTGTTTTTAAATATTATTTATCTATAGTGTATCCTTGGCGAAATCTGTGATTATAGAAGTAAAGTCTTTGACAATAGAACCAGAATAATGTTCAAACTTCTAATTTAAATCAATAATTATAGTCGAATTTCGACTACTGGACGGCCACTACTTCTAATAAATTAAAACATTTGAGACTGACAATTGAAATTAATCGGGGCAAGTGTCACCGGGACCGGCGGGACCTAACTATCCTGCAAATATCCTAACGATATGCACCTTACGTACTGAATTTTTAGGTACATTAAAAATATACTAGTGGTCCCCCAGTAGTCGAAATTCGATTATAATTAATTGAAATTATAAGTTTGAACATTATGGTTCTGTTCTCAAAGACTTATTATACTTCTATATTCACAGATTTCGCCAAGACTACCACTATAGACAAATAATATTAAAGACAAACAATATTAATCTATTCTCAATTAGACCACAGACTTTAATATTAAACAGAAGGATTTTTATGCGTGTGTGCGTAATGTTTTCTTTATTGATTTAATGTAATTTTTATGCATAGTTAAAAAAAAATAGCATTCTGCACTCCTTCTCTATATTTTTTGTAAGTGTGGGAAATTTCATACTCCTCCGTCAGCGCAAGTTTCGTAAATAGGGGTACAGAGCTTTTGCTTCACGTATTAATATATAGATAACAGAACGAAAAAGAACATAACATTTTAACCTATAGATAGACATTCATTTTGAGTCGAAATAGAGTGTTTCAGTTAAGTGAAAATTACAAAAGGTGAAAAATACATTACAACGCGAGCATTGGTAACGTGTTAATAAAATGGCGAAACAAATTAAGAGCTTTTCATTTAATAGTTATGTATTAAATAATTAGGCCGTGGTCTACCAGTCTTCCTTCTAACACTAAACATACCATAAAAGGTCAAACGACCCATTTGGAACTGTTGCATTGAAAATGCACATATCATCTTATTGCTTTTGGCCATTTGAGTTCATGACCTTTCCTTACCAATTAATCGACAGTTATTATACTACTTTTTTTTTGTTTTGTTTTATTTATTTTGAGTAATACTTGTCGTATACCGTTATCCACCCGCTATGGTAGAAATAGGTAGCAGTAAGCGTTGGTATGATTTGTATTAAGTGCGTTCGAAACCAATATTTATTTATTTTATTGCATAGATGGGTGGACGAGCTCACAGCCCACCTGGTGTTAAGTGGTGACCGGAGCCCATAGACATCTACAACGTAATTGTCGCCACCCACCCTGAGATATGAGTTTTAATATAGTTACAACGGCTACCCCACCCTTCAAACCGAAACGCATTACTGCTTCACGGCAGTAATAGGCAGGGTGGTTGTACTTACCCGTGCGACTCACAAGATGTCCTACCACCGGTAAAATATGCATCACAAATAGTAATCTACTGATTTTACTAATATAGAAGAAGGTTACCTGTGAAATTGTCTCTGGCGCGTTGGTATTCGAGTTCGGAGGGATTGTGTTTGGCGAGCCACTCGGCTATGGGCTTGTCCTTGAATGAGCCGGTCAGACCCCACTCAGTTTGTATGGCGCGCAGCGTCTCAGCTTCTGTCACTATTTCTATCATACCTAGAAAATGAAATTAAACAAAATTAAAATTTAATAGTATTATTAATTAATCACATTTGTTTTTTTTTTTTCTACCTAAGATGATGGCCTTCAGAGACCATACCAGCATCACCGGGCGAGTAGGTGAGCTCCCGGGGCTCAAACCTGACGTTGTTGTTAACACTGACTCTAGCAAGAACCGTGCTTCGCAGAATCTACCACCGGATCGGAAACGCGATCCACTGAGAAGATAGGGCGAGAAACTCAGTGGGCTGTGTCTGTGGGTTAATTTACTCGTCGAGCCCTTCGTCGCAAGCGACGGGTTCAGCGAGGATGACGACCGGTGCTTGAGGTACCTAAAAGCACCGTTAGTGGATCGGGTTATTCACCGTCCACTTCCATCTATATATTAATACGTGAAGCAAAAATTTTGTCACGTTTTTACTAAAATTGCGCGGACAGAGATGTATGAAATTTCCCACACTTATAGAGAATATAGAGAAGGAGTGCACAATGCTAATATTTTTTTACAATTTTTTGTTTATTGGAGTTTACTCCTTTAGAATCGATTTACATATATAGGCCCGGGGTATGAAAATTATGGGGACCAAAATCGTACTAGCATGTCACACGAAATGCGTTATGCGCCTGATTGCGCATGTCACACGAAATGCGCGCCGGGCTGCTGCGCCGGCAGTCCGCCACAAAGCCTCGTATAATAGCCGGCAAACTTCTTGAGCATTTGTTGACGTAGTGGGGGTAAGTTTGCGCATGGTACACTCACGTGCAAAAACATTATTTACTCTGCGTCATAATGCAATTAAATTATTAAAATCAACATATGTATTTATTTATATATTTATTAGAACATCAACAAAAAATATAGGTTAATAATTTTAATAATTTAATCTTGGGGTAAAATAGATATTCCTTCTATTAAATAAAAACTAGAGCTGTTGCCAGGTCTTGGTTCAGTTGAAGCGAAGCTGGTATTTTTGTTTCGCTATCATAATCTTGACCATCATCATCATCACTGTTTTCATCACCCGAGTCGCTATCATCGTGATGAGTCGACATAGGGCTCATCGGTGTAGTTTATAACTCGATCGGTTCGGTCTTCTTTTTTGTCTATAATTAATTATTTTTTGAAGATATTCGATTCGTAGTAATCGAATGTTACTTTTTTCAATTACCAGCTTCCGATTATTTTCTGTTTTTTTTTCCATCGGAAGCCTAGCTCTTTCATAATTCGTCGTAAACTTCATTCCGAGCCATTAAAATGTATATCTTCTTTAAAATTTTCGAAGCCTTTCTACGGTACGGAGTTTCGCTGCTTGTTATGTAGTTATTATGATTACATCTTTTTATTACAGATTGAACGAAACTATCCATTCCGGTAACTTTCTTCTTCCCTGATCTTTTCTTACCCGGAGTCCCAAGCACGATGAGCAAGCCAGAGCCTTTAGCTTCGTTAATAATGCACCTAGCAGTACTCACTGATGTTTTTGTTGCTTCCGAAGTCTGTTTTACTTTTTCCATAATATCATTCTTCCCCTGTTTTATAATGAAGCAATATACGTCGTACACAATTTTTCTACCCTTTCTTTTGAATACTACACCAGTTTGTCGCGGCATAGTGTATTTTTTATAAAAAATCAACAAATACTCAACAAATAGCAATGGCAACAAAGTCAACAAGCAATTATAACAAAATATAACTTAACGATTAATAACGATAGACTTTTCACTGTACGCAAGCGTACTTTTGGGAGCAAGCGGAACGAAGGCGCGGTGCGGGACGCAAAGTTCGACTGATCTACCAATAACGCGCTCGCTACGATTTCCCCTGCCGTCGCGCCTCACCCTCACCACCAAAGTGATCTAAAATTCGGTTCTGCGCAGTCAAGGTCATTTGCTCACGATGTTTGCCGGTTACTATACTGATCGCGCGTTTCTCTCATTATTGTATTTTCATATATTTGTTAGTCGTTTGTTTTGTGTCTCGTTAATTTGTTAATAATCTGTAGTGTATCGTGTTGTCGTAATATAGAACTATTTCTCGTATTGTTTCGTTTAATTTTTTATATCCAGTAAACTCCAGTCGTGCGTCGGAGCGGACACACACACTTTTTTTTTTTTAATTTCTGTGGTCAAATTGAGAATAGATTAGTATTGTTTGCCTTTAACATTATTTATCTATGGTGTAGTCTTGGCGAAATCTGTGTTTATAGAAATATAATAGTCTTTGACAATAGAGCCGTAATAATGTTCAAACTTATAATTTCAATTAATTATATTCGAATTTCGACTACTGAGGGACCACTAGTAAATTATAAAAAATCTTTATTTACCTTTACTATTACTTGTGGGCAGAGCTTGGAAAGTAACCATCCTCAGATCTAGGCCAGCTTTCAACCATAGTGTATCCATTATTTTTATCACTTGCAACACTAGAGCATCTTGTCGTAAATCATCTCCAACCTAAAGCCCAGTGAAAAAAAATTCATTTTACTACATTCATCTTTTCTAAACTTAATAACAAACTACAAATTTATTTAAAAAAATCACACCTTGAACATAGCTGGAATTACTGCATTATCTGTTCCAATAAAATTTATTTTCAGCGGAAGTGTGTTTGATGAGAAGTAGGTACATGATCTGTAAATGAAATTATGTCATTAGAGTATCATTTAAAGTTAATTATAGTATTCATAGTTAAAAATGCTTTATATTTAAGTTACTTGTTATAATAAAGGAAGTCAGCTGTTAAATATAGTTGATCCAAAGTGTCAGTGTCAAATGTTCTTCGCGAAAATGATGTATATCGTCGTTGTCAAACTAAAATCTGCTATGTGCAAAAACTCTATTTTGAATTAACGAGTAGAAACATTTTCGTATAAAATTTTATATGAAGGTGAATTTTTAAGAACTATATCAAATGAAAGCTATAGATAAATATTAAAGCTATAGACACATAACAGTTCCTTTTATACGGTAGATAGGGCTGTGAACTATACGAAAAGGTCCAAATGTAAAAATCTCAAAAAGTGCACATAGCAGATTTTGGTTTGACAATGACGATATTCGACAATTGGTTTGAGATTGTGATATTATGAGCACTACTACTTATTTTATTTTCAGTATGTGACTAACTTGACGTCGAGATCGTGTACGTATTTATGGAGCGCGAGGGGCAGCGCGGTGGGCTGGGCACGCAGCGCGCCCGCCAGCGCCGTGCCGCCCGCACACAGCGCGCGTCCGCGGGCGCACTCCTTCGCGCACTTCACCGACACCGCCATCTCGCACAGACTCTGCAACACGTACGCGACATTAGCTCTCTAAAGAAGATGGGCCTGGCATCCAAGAGGAAATTTCTAAAAAAAGGGTGCGTGTATTTATGTACGCGCGTAAGAAGTTATACTTTATTTTTATTAAATTTTTTTTTTTTTTTAAATATTAAATAATTAATAATAAATATTTAAAGTTAATAATTTAATAATATTTAGTATGAATTATATTAAATAATAATTTTGTCATTCATATTACTAAAAAATGAATGCTAATAACACTTTTTGAAGTGAAAACTTCTTTAGAATCGTTGTGATTTCAAACCGGATGCAACGGAAAAAACGACAGGTAAGAGACACAAATACAAAAATGTGTAGGATGAAGCCAGCAAAGAATGCGACAGAAATATACATACTATTTAATACAGCGCCATCTGTGAGATTTTTTAATACTAACGTGTGTATGAAAGCTCTTGTAGTGAATTTTAATTTAGGATTATACGTGAAATTAAAATATCAATTCACAGAGGGCGCTACCTTACAATTATTTACTAATGACAAAATTTTACATATACTTAAGACGTTTAGGATAATTGTATTTTAATTTNTTTTTTTTTTTTTTCTTCTTTTTTTAAATATTAAATAATTAATAATAAATATTTAAAGTTAATAATTTAATAATATTTAGTATGAATTATATTAAATAATAATTTTGTCATTTATATTACTATACTATACTATACTATATTTATATTACTAAAAACTGAATGCTAATAACACTTTTTTTTACGAGTGTACATGCGCGAATTTTCACCTGGGGCTATATTCAGATTCGCCAAGTTACGTCGGTCGTATTGTAATGAGCGATTTAGTGGACAACTTCATTTCTGTAAATTTTGTGTCACGGTGCGCGCGCATCGTAAAATTTCACTCTCATCAATTTTTCATAACGCGCCTAAAGGAGTATAACTTCAAAAAGCGACGATAGTTATTGTAGTATGGTTAGAATTTATCAATATTCTTATCGTAATATTTTATAATTCGTAACTTTATACCTTAAACCACTGAACCACCAACATTGTTTTTGTTTTAGTTCCACAATAAGACTTACCCACAGTAGGTGCGCGAGTTCATGTTCATCCTAAGGAAAGCGGTAGTGCTGTGACCTAGTTAATTATGGTAATGTCGATAATAACAACCGATTTAGTCAACAGCTGTCAATTTGGTTTAATGTGACTTAAGGTAACTTTGCAACTTATGAAATAAAATAAATGTGATAAATAATTACTCGTTGATTTCTAGTAAAATATTTTTTTAATTCCAATTCAATCACTATCAAATGAAAAGACAACCGACAGATCAGAGTCGGAATCAGTAGTTTCTTTTTCAGTAGGTTTTTTTATCTGAACTTGTTGGAAGCGGAGTAGTCATGGTTTATTCACAATGAAATAACGCAATAGCGTTAGCGTAAATTTTCGATATCGATAAGCGCGCGTCACAACCGTCAAGGAGGCGGGCGAAGGCGGGGCGAGCTGTCCCCCGCGCGTCGCCTCTGGCCCCGATGGACATGAACTCGCGCGCATACACTATGTAGGTAAACACAGGTGATTCATACATTTCCGCGTCGTCAACATTCATGACAAAACGACAAAGCACCGATGCTAAATTGTCTATCACTCGCGGTACGAATGTGCATAAATTCTAGAGCTACAACCAAACTGCCTGCCAATCTCTCTACATCGTATCGTTTTTATTATTATTAACGTCTAATTATTCACCTTGACGAGTAACTGTTGTCGAAGCAGCGTCTTGTTGAGATTTTCTCCGCATATAACGAGTAAGGCGCGCAGCATCAGCGTGTAGCGCCACGAGGCGCTCATCGATGCATCAGTTTCGGCGTTTTCAGAAGCATTATCTTCTAAATTTATCCCGAGGAACTCTTGATGTGGCGCCTGAAACAACAAAATATTTAAAACTATCGACTTAACGTTTGAACCGCGTTCAGTTTCTAATTCAGATGGAATAAAGCACTTCATAGAATCCCCGTAGAAAAGGTTGCTTGTGTCATTTTGTTGTTCGTAAACTACCTGTCGACTTGTGGATATGTAGAATCACGAATCAGCGAGCACGGTGTCTTTTTTATTATAGCAAATATATCCGACGTTGTCCGGAAATTTAATTGAAATCCTTTTTCAAAAAACTTTCATATTAATACATTATAGTTTTTGTGAGGAAAGCTTATGTTCTTTGTGTAATCAATTCGATAAAATTTCTTTTTTATTGACGTTTTTTCACAAAACATGTGGTTTATTTTTGAAATGGTTCGCTCGCAACAAATCTACATCATTATACATCGTGTATTTTATTTTTTGTGTAATGTGGGTAGGATATAAACGACATTGTGTTACTATGTGAACCAAAGCCGTAACATAAAATGATAGAAAATTGTATTTACCTGTGGTATATTAGGCAGGGAATGCACTAAAAGCCAAAACAGTCTGTGAGCAACAGCCGGAGCCGCTAGCGCTCGCGAAAGCAGTAGCTCTGAAAATTAGATAGGTTAGTCAACAAAGACACAAGTCTTGTTTATCAAGCAAATGAAATTGTGGATTTATTTTTAAGCAATGTCATTATTCTTTTTGCAGTCATCAATCACGCCTAAATAGGATGATTTCGCTTCTGATTTTTTTTTGTAAGACTTTATGGCCGGGTAACGAGACTTTTAAGCCAGCTTCCGGTTTGGCCTAGTAACCAGACCTTTAAGCCAGTGTCTGGTTGTAGCGTTGAGCAGGTTCGCACCTCCTACTACTCGGACTCCAGGGCGAAGGGTGCAGAGGTGGCCTGAAGACAGCTCCACACTTCAAGTCTGCCCTCTCGGCGCTGATTTCGGGAGGTTCAGAGCCCGATCCAAATATGGGATAGTAACCGGTTAACATTGGATGTGCCGTAAGGTTACAGTATCTACGCGGACAGTAAGTACAGTAGACAGTTACCGGCTAAAGGACTGGGTTCGTACGTCTCGTGTCGCAGCGCCTGCGTGAGCTGCGGCAACACGCGGCACAGGTCGTCGTCAGACATCTCGTTCAACAGCTTGGCTGCTGTTTCTCTTACGGCGACGTCCGGAAAACTACACAAAAAAACAATTGTATTTATTATTTTCATAGTCATTTCAGATTTGTTGCGGTGATTCGTTAATAATGTCTAGACATATTTTATGAGTACCGAATGGTGGGTTAACATTAAAAAATTCGGCATAAACAAGTATTTTCGGTTTGAGTTGAATGAACTCCCCTCTATGGTGATTTCTGATCGCTATATACTTATATATACGCTATATTTACTTCTCCAAATTTTACATCGAGGATGTCCCGAGGCGACTGTGACCGTGTACCTCATTAGATGAACCATAATGTGGTGTGCTATTCAAAGATAGCGGAAGTGAAACTTTCAGAAATATTCTATATCATTCTCTCGCAGGCAACTTCTATGGCTGTAAAGCCCTTTTTGATTTCACATTTCGTAATCACAATCATAATCGTAATCACAACGGCTGTATACAACTTTTTACAGAGAAAAAAAATTTTTTTTTATAGCTCTTCTCACCAAGGCAACAGCAAATGCATAGCGTTTAAAGGTGAAGGTTTCTCCCACAGTCGGAGTAGACCTATCAATTGTTCTCTATGGTCTCCGTACCAATTCGTAGCAGCTAGCAACACCAGAGGCAAAGCGCCTGGGATCTGTACCAGGTACTGCCGTTTCTCCCACATGACCTGCAGAACAACAGATATAGTTTATTTACTAGAACTTACAAAAAATATCGACGGCCCTTCTGCCTTTCTGGGTTAAGGCATGTTGTGACCCCCCAGTAAACTTCATTAAAAACTCAGTAAAAAGTTGTGGTGGGTACAATTTTTTCTGAATTAAAAAGTACCCAACACATTAACGAATACCTATTTAAAGATTCAAGGAATTTGTATTCGAATCTGACAAAACAAAGTCGCGAAGCAATCGTGTATTCTAGTTAGAGACACCCATTGTGCAATTCAATGGAGTCCAGCCTCATGCCCCAAGGTCATGGTGGCGACATCTACATTTTGAAGTCTACGTGTGAGCAAAGTACAAAGTTCACCTCTCTACATTCTGTAGGCATCCTCTGATAAGCGCCCTGCTCGATGAGGTGTAGCAGTTGAGACTGTGTGTGTCCGTCCAAACTGTCGAACGACGGTAGATCCTTCAGAGATATATTCTTCTGTTTGTCTTCTTCTCCGCTGGTCCACTTGACCCCGGTGTGTGCGTATAAAGGAATTTCTGTAGAACATTAAAGTGTTATAGGAACAAATTAAACCGGTTCTAGTTTTTTTTTATTGCCCTTGTAGGCAGACGAACATACGGCCCACCTGATGGTGGTCGGTTACCGTCGCCCATGGACTTCAGCAAGCCGCTGCCTACCGTGAAGTAATCCACAAGCCTCGTTTGAAGAAGGACATGTTCTAGCGCTCGGGAAACACCGTGGAGGGGAGCTCATTTCAAAGCCGGATGGTACGTAGCAAAAAAGATCTCTGAAAACGCACTATGGATGAACGTAGTGGCTCCAGGTAGTATGGATGAACTCTACTCCGGCGGAGGGCAGTGCGATGGTAAAAACGAGATGATGAAATAATCTCAAACAATTCCTCAGAGCACTCCCCTAGTTGCACTAGCTTATTTAGAAACTGTTTTAAACGAACAAAAAACTGACTCACCAATATTGACAACGGGATATGGTGTTGTAGGTGTGTGCATAGGATGAGGTGCCGGGCCGGTCCGCCGGTCGCAACTAGTCGGCCACAATGGTAAAACGTAATTACCGGACGATAGCATCCTGAAACATAACTCTGTGTTACACTTTTTTTTTGTATAGTAGAATTATATAAAAAGTATAAATCAAAACAGTTAAGCACAATTTTCTACTCTATTCATTAATCGATTATCTTTTTTATATTTCTTAACTATTGAGTAGCTAGTATTATCAATAAAAATACAGAAATTACCTCTTTTTTCTTTTAACTGTCAACAGCATGACTAATTAGTACTAGAATACAATAAATCGTAATGTTTCAGTGTTAAGGTCAAAAGTCGATCAGTGAGCGCTAATTCGCTGGTGGTAGGACCTCTCGTGAGTCCGCGCGGGTAGGTCCCACCACCTCGCCTATTTCTGCCGTGAAGCAGTAATACTTTTCGGTTTGAAGGGTGGGGCAGCCGTTGTAACTATACTGAGACCTTAGAACTTATATCTCAAGGTGGGTGAAGTTGTAGATGTCTATGGGCTCTAGTGACCACTTAACACCAGGTGGGCTGTGAGCTAAAGCATTGGATATAGCCGTCTCGCTCACCCATCAAAGTCGAAGAGTTGCAGGGCGGCCCAGCCCAGCTCGACCTGCTCGTACTGCACGTCGCCGCTGTCCTCGGCCTCCTGGCTGCTGGGCGGGCTGTTCTCGTTCGGATGCTGACTGTCCACTGTGCGCTGGGTCCTGCCGTGCAGCGTCAGAACGAGACGAGATTCTCTTGGTAACGTGTTTACTGGTAAATCTTCGAGGTTCAGCCTGAAAATTTTATATTCATATACTGTTACGCGCTGAGGTTCGAGATAAATAAAAATCTACCGAAATATAAATTAAAACTGTAATAACACTTAGAACACTTAACGAACACTTTAAAATTCTCAATTCATTTTCTTCCGCTTCGCTTAAAGTGATCCGTTCGCTATTTCGCTTCGAGTAGTTCCGATTACTGACTGCATCGTGCCATCTCTGCAACGCTTTTATAATCGATACGACATCCCTAGAATTATCGAGAACATTCCTCACAAGTCGAGTATTTTCGATGTGTTTTCGTTATCTGACAATAGATGGTGTTGTACACCTCGAGAGTTCTAGATGCTAATAGATCCTTTGATATTCGTTTCAGCTATTCGGTGATATATGGTGTTACTTTTACCGGTGATAAGATACGGTAAGATGAAAGAATGTCCCAATAAAATATGCGGAAATTACTGAAGTTCTAATGTCATTATTGGATGAGTCCGAGAAACAACATCCAGTGCTATTTGGGGCATGGCCATGTGTGCTAAATGTAGGGTCCACCATAGTCTTACCAAGTATCAAATATGATTCGAGGATAAAACCCGCCGCATTCAATCTTCGAAGCTTGTGTGAACCGTAACGTTTTCAAAGGTCTTGTTCCGTGGTAGATTTGCGCATGGAACATGTACTCGTCGTGGCTCCAGCACAGAGGCAAACAGTGCACCGCCTCTATACAAAACAGTGTCGTTTCTGATATTGTGTGCGCCGGTACTGCTTCTGCGAATAAAACATCATAATTTACTCACTTAAACATTAATCAGTAGCAAATGTGAAATAAAAATTGCCTATAGATAAAAAAAAATTAGAGTTCCTAATATTTAACGTTGAATTTTTCTGGAACAACAACCCCAGTTGCGGCTAGTCCTGCGTTTACCCAATCCAACAAATAAACTTGTTAATGGTTAATGATATAAAAGATTAATCAGAACCAATTTTCACTCTCTTTCAATCCCAATTTTAGATACCATATAATCATCATTTATGGGGGTAGGTAATATTTAATAAATGATAAATACTGTTAAGTAGGGTTGAAGTGATAGTGGACGAGGAAAATTGCCCTAAGAACAGTTGGCGGTGCGGCCGAAACGTTCTTGAATGTCGAACGTACGCCGAAGGATACAGTGTGGGCAGGGCTCTCGCGAGGTAGATCAGCGATCTGCTAGAGGCGGCTTTTATTTATTTATTTTTGATTGCCCTTGCAGGCAGACGAGCATACGGCCCACCTAATGGTGAGTGGTTACTGTCGCCCATGTACTTCAGCAATGCCAGGGGCAGAGCCAGGCCGCTGCCTACTGGGTTGATCGTGAAGTAAGTAGATAGGTTCTTTACCGGTGGTAGGACCTCTTGTGAGTCCGCGCGGGTAGGTACCATCACCCTGCCTATTTCTACCGTGAAGCAGTAATGCGTTTCAGTTTGAAGGGTGGGGCAGCCGTTGTAACTACACTTGAGACCTAAGAACTTATACCTCAAGGTGGGTGGTGCATTTACGTTGTAGATGTCTATGGGCTCCAGTAACCACTTAACACCAGGTGGGCTGTGGGCTCGTCCACTCATAATAAAAAAATAAATTAAAAAAAAAGGTACGCACTGGCGGGGTTGGCGGGCGCCTGGTAGTGCGCGTCGGCGAGGCGGAAGTCGAGCAGGCGCGTGCGCGTGTAGAGCGCGAGCAGCGCCCGCACGGCGTCGCGCACGCGCCCGCCCTGCAGCGACACGCAGTCGCGCCGCGAGCCCGCCGCCAGCGACACCGAGCAGTACGCGCCCTGCTCGCGCTCTATCTCCGGACGGACCACGTTGTTCGCTCCCTGCACGACAAGACACGAGTATATAATGTCGTCTTTTCAGCGAGCAACTTGCTGTACCAATTGAGAGACCTCAAAATGAAGCACTTGGCAAATTCGCGAAGATAATTAAAATAATTAATTATTCTCTTCGTTAAAATACTTGACAATAACTTCAATGGTCTTTTGAATATGACATTAACAAAATGAGATTATGCTCTGACCTGCGCGGTGCAGGCCTGCGCGAACGCGTTGAGCGTGTGAGTGACGTGCAGGGTCTCCACGCCGCCCGCCAGAGCGCAGATAGCCTTGACGGCTTGGAACACCGCCTTCGGGGAGCAGCTGCCCTCAGCGCTGGTCACACCGATAGCACGCGACAGCTCGCCTTCTAAAGTTTCTGTTCAATACAAATACTCTCAGTGCATTGTGTTAGAGACCCCACGTACATATTTGATACTCAATGCTCATAGAAATTTGCTTTACAGAGACTGACAAATGAGAATGAAAATTTTAATACATTGGACAGGTAAGATGTACTGTTAATTCTACAATGATATCCAAAAAAACAGTGTTATAACACGTTTATTCTACAGGGTGAGTGAAAAAATTTGACTGCGTGAAATAGTTCTTATTTCAAAAACAATTGTTCTTTTTTTTTAAAGGATTTTATGACCTGGTCACTAAGACCTTTGGGTCAAGTCCTAGTTTAATTTATATTCTTATTTTTATGAAAAATGATTATATGGAGTGAAATGAAATGAAGATGATTCATTTGAGACATTAATCAACTGAGATGATATGGGTTGAAATATAATCTCAGTAAAATGGTGGTTATTTACTGAGACTTTTTCAATGGGCTTTTTGGATGATCCCTAGAAGCTACGTCCAGCGGCTTTGTTTTTTTCATGCACTTTCACAGATATTAAACAATTAATAAACGACCATTATTACACATTTAAACCTGAAGAAACACTAAATGGACAAAATAAAACAAATCACAAAAACTCGCGTTCCCGCCAAAAAATCCCCAATTCTTCTTTCTATATAGTACAGATAATAGAGAGCTATCTAATATCAATATGTTTATCGATTAACTCACCGAGCAATATCGATAAATTATCGAACGATAGCATCGGCGTGGCTCCCTGCGCCGGGAACAGGTCGTCGAGCGTGAGGTGCGAGTCCTTCGCGTCGTCCCTCTCGGTCCTGGCCAGCGTGCTGTCCCTCCCTTCGTGCAGACACAGCGTCACGTCCTTCTCCAAGCGCACGCACTCGCGTATGTAATCGTATTCGCTCAGCGAGCTGCCGGGCGTCAGATACTCTTTGGCTCCCCGCACCTGTGACGTCAGACTGGGTACAGGGTGTGACGCGGCAATAGAAAACCAATCATTCGCGAACAAATTGTAGCGGAACTTATTTGGGCATTGTCAAAATATTCTACTGAGGGTAGAGCGTGTTGTGAACCCGCATTGGTAGCTACAACCGTCCTGCCTATTTCAGATATTATTGGTGGTAGGACGTCTTTTGAGTCCGCACTGGTAAGTACCACCATCCTGCCTATTTCTGCCGTGAAGCAGTGATGCGTTTCTATTTGAAAGATAGGTAAGCCAATGGGACGTAGAACTCGGTTCTCAAAGAGGGTAGCGCAATTTACGTCATTCACATCTATTGCCTTAGGTAACCAATTAACACCTGGAAAGCTGTAAGTTCACTCGCCCATCTAAGAAATTAAAACCAAATGTAACAAGCATGATCGAAATGTTTTCGAAAATTAACAAAATAAAATACGTGTGGATTTATCTATATTTTAAAATGATCTTTGGATTGGCTTTATCGATATAAATACTATATATTCGTTAATATAGGTAATTCACACAATCATTTCAAACATTTGGAAGTTTAGACAAAGTTATAAACAATGCCACAAATAGTAAACACACACATTCTTTGTGTGCAGTTGTAAGACTTGACAATTATAATAATGACGAATATTTTAGATTGAAATCAGATTTATGTGGACATTTTTATATCTTACCCTTAACATATATCCTGACATGTCCTCCCTGATGTCTTCATCCAGTGAACAGACTACTGTTAATATCACGTGTTCCACTTTAGATTCCACTGAAAAACAAAAAAAAAGTAGTAAATGTATATCACTACTGTTCGCAGTCATTACGGATCCTCCCGATCCATTATTAACGGTGCTTTTAGGTACCACAAGCACCGGTCGCCGTCCTCGCCGAACCCGTCGCTTGCGATGAAGGGCTCGACGAGCGAATTAGCCCATAGATACAGCCCACTGAGATGTAGCCGGATCTTCTCAGTGGATGGCGTTTCAGATCCGGTGGTAGATTCTGCGAAGCACTGCTCTTGCTAGGGCCAGTGTTAGCAACACTCCCGGTTTGAGCCCCGTAAGCCCACCTACTGGTCCGGTAACGCTGATATAGCCTCTGAAGGCTATCAACATAGGTAGGAAAAAAAAGCTGTTCGCATATTACTGATGGTAGGACCTCTTGTGAGTCCGCACGGGACCACCACCATCACCCCGCCTATTTCTGCCGTGAAGCAGTAATGCGTTTCGGTTTGAAGGATAGGGCAGCCGTTGTAACTATACTTGAGAACTGATATCTCAAGGTGGGTGGCGCATTTACGTCGTAGATGTCTATGGGCTCCAGTAACCACTTAACATCAGGTTGGCTGTGAGCTCGTCCACCCATCTAAGCAATAAAAAAAAGGCATAGCACAGGCAATCTCAGTTTGTGGCCCGATAACCGTATGCGACTTGTCTAACTTTATCAACGTTCAGAACTCACCGTCGGACGTGAAAGTGATGGGTTCATCGGAGTGAGCGTGATGAACTAGTATCTTGATGCTCGTGTTGGGCGGGTACTTGCCGCCGGACCTGGCTGCTATGACGTGCCCTGGGTTCGTCCTCTCATCAGTGTACACGAACTTTTCTGTGCGACACAAAATATACAAGTCAATATGAAATACTTCTATATATATAAACCAGTAAAGACTTGTATTTTTAACTCACTTCGAACGTCAAGAGCCATTTTAAGAAACGCTTTGTGTTCGCTGTCGTAATTTCTTGTTCTGATCTTAACTATGCTATCGTAAAGTTTGTTCTGAAACACAAAAAAAAACGGGTAATTTATGTGACGTATGTGATTGATAAGTTATCTATCAATTTTTTTTCTACCTATGCTGATAGCTTTGAGAGGCTATTTTAGCTTCATCCTAGCATGTAGGTGAGTTCTCGGGGCTCAAACCGGAAGTATCGCTAACATTGCGAGAGCAGTGCTTCGCAAAGTCTACCACCAGATCGGAAACACGACCCACTGAGAAGATCCGGCGAGAACCTCAGTGTGCTGTGTCTATGGAATAATTTACTCGCCGAGTCCTTCGTCGCAAGCGACGGGTTTGGCGAGGACGGTGACCGATGCTTGAGGTACCTAAAAGCACCGTTAATGGATCGGGAGGATCCAAAATGACGTGTTTAGGGCGACGTCAACTGTTTACCATTCGGTCCACAGGATCGGGTATGTAATTACCGGCGGCTACGACAAGAGGGTTTTCATGTCGTGCCGCCTTCTCTAAGTGGCGCAATGATGCCGACTGTATATACTTACTAATTAAAACATATATGGAATACGATACACACAATATATGGAAATGTGAATATAGAACAAACGAAATAAATTTTTGAATGAAAGAGCATATCTCTCACGGTTCACCTGACAATTAATAGTTATCGGAAATTTTAAGGTAGACTGGAAAATAGTATGGGTAACCAGATAATAACATTATTTAATAACAAAAATAAATCTCGGTAAAATTACAAAAATAAATAAATAACGCCCGTCTGGTGTAATGGTAAGTAACATGGTCACTACACAAGGGGGTCGCGGGTTCGAATCCCGCCAAAGGAAGATATTTGTATGATAAATATAAAAAAAATGTCTTTTCCAGGGTTATTGATGTATATGTATGTGTATAATAAAAATCCTGTAACACAAGTTCTTTACGAACTTAGCACGAGACCAGTTAACGTGGCGTGATTGTTCGTAAATATTTATTTATTATTTATTGTTTATTATTTATTTATTTAAATATAGCTTAAACCAAATAATAGCCTTCCATCCCTCGATATAGATCTGGAATTTCAATAATAATGTTTGGATACAGACCGTGGTGGATCTGAGCGCGACGGCGGGCACGGAGGGCATTGCCTTTGGCGGCGGCGACGGCATGACGGCAGGCTCGCGCTTGCCGACGGTACCGTATACGGGCGTCTCACGCATCTCCGTCTCCCCGTACAGGAAATCCAGCGGGTCGTACTCTTCGTAGACGCTACTCGAACATTCGCTGCCCACCGCATATTCTGAACAGTTCACAGGGTTTTTTTTTATTGCTTAGATGCGTGAACGAGCTCACACCCCATAGACATCTACAACGCCGCCACCCACCTTGAGGTATGAGTTTTAAGATCTCAGTTTAATTACAACGGCTGCCCCGCCCTTGAAACCGAAACGCATTAATTACTGCTTCACGGCAGAAATAGGCGGGGTGGTGGTACCTACCCGTGCGGACTCACGAGACGTTCTTCCTAACACCAGTAAACCACCTGGTGTTAAGTAGTTGCTGGAGCCCATAGACATCTACAACGCCGCCACCCACCTTGAGATATAAGTTCTAAGGTCTCAGTTTAGTTACAACGGCTGCCCCACCCTTGAAACCGAAACGCATTAATTACTGCTTCACGGCAGAAATAGGCACGCGTGCGGACTCACAAGAGGTCCTACCACCAGTAAAACTTTTTAGGAATAAACCAAATAAGTCTTTATCTCTTGTTTTCTTATCAACTTATCAGCTTACCAGCTACTGAACCAGTGGAGCTCAAAAGACGCCCTACCAGTCTTGAAGGAAGGGAAATAATATCAAAGAGTCAGATCAAATAGTTCGTCGTGGCGTGCAACCTCTTTGATGGGACATAAGACCTACAACGACTAGACATAGACTAAGAAAGACTTGACAAGAATTCGAAAAAAAACAAAAGAAAAGAAATGAAACGAGGGCGGACGTGACTAGCGGCAGGGAGTACTTTTAATGCCTTCCTAAAAGACGTGCACGAACCAGACGATAAGGATATGTACATAAAATAGACAACAAACGAACGAACCGACCGTTCATAATGAGAAAGTAACAGGAGTAGCTGGGGGTGACCGTGGTCGCATAACCCGTATTGACTACTACCTTTTGCTCGCGACTCCGTCCGCGTGGAATAGTTACTTTGGCTAAATTTTACCCCCACTTCATTTACGTAGAAAGTGAAAATATTTTTGAATTATAGAATATTAGAAACTATTCAAAACCCTATTTTGAAACATTCTTTATTGGTGCTCCGCTTGTATTGGCCTTACCGTGATGTTATAAAGCCTATAGCCTTCTTCAATAAATGGGGCTATCTAACTCTGAAAGAATTTTCCAAATCGGACCAGTAGTTCCTGAGATTAGCGCGTTCAAACAAACAAACTCTTCAGCTTTATAATATTAGTATAGATACTGGCTGTGTGGTGTAAACCTAAAATGCACCACCACTTCTCTTGGGTTTAGTAAAATGCGACTTAGAAATTCACTAGACAAGGTAGGCTCCACTATCACCAACGCTGGAGGCTGCGAAGATGAGATCCGAAGACGTTGCGCCGTGACAAGATCCTCAGTTGAGAGGCTAACAAAGATTTGGAGAGACCGCAGAATAACCAAAAATACAAAAGTTCGGTTAATGAGATGCCTGGTCTTTCCAATCTTTCTGTATGGGGCTGAGACGTGGACGCTGAGGATGCAAGACCGTCGTAAGATCGACGCACTAGAAATGTGGTGTTGGAGACGTCTCCTCAGAATTCCGTGGACCGCGCACCGTACCAACATTTCGATCCTGAAAGAGCTCAACATCAAGGAGAGACTATCGTCAACAGTCCAATTACGAATCCTCAAATTCTTCGGGCACATCACTCGTAATGAGGACTCCATTGAGCGGTTGGTGGTGCAAGGGAAAGTCGAGGGCAAAAGATCTCGCGGACGATCTCCAACACGATGGACCGACCTCATAAAATCTCTTACTCACTCCAACATAAATGCTTGCTCTCACTCTGCGAAACATCGTGCCACATGGCGTCGCATCGCGAGAGCATCGGTATCGCAGGATCCGACTGATGCATGACCACGACCACTCTGTCAAGAGTGTACGAATAGGAAGAAGACAAGGTAAGATATACTGTGAACCAGCATACCTACTCCAGGTACCATCATCCTACTTATTTCTGACGCGAAGCAAACGTTATGTTCAGTTCCAAGACATGAGTTGCACAAATACGAAAACGAATCTTATTACTCATCAAATAGGGCAGAGATTTACAGGTTGCGATGTCTATGGGCTACAGCAATCACTGAATACTAAATGGCTATAAACAGCAACAAAATATTTCAAACACGCTGACGATTCACAAGCAATGGTTGTGCTTAAGCAATCATAAAATTTCATTTTAATTGATGATTTTAGTTATGTAGGTATGTGTGCATTCGGTGGGGATCTAAAAAATAATGTTTCTACCAAAATGGATCGATTTTAACCAATGAATCAACCGCAGACAGTAAAAAAGGCACAGTTATTTTTCCTGTTTCTGATAAAACACAATAGTAGATTACAATTATTTTGAGTAAAATTAATTTACTGCATAATAAATAACTAATCATTAAATAAGAGTGTTGAAAAAAAATTTTCAGGTGGCTACATGACTTCGTATTTCTTTCATCTTATCGCAAGATATAATAAAAAACCAGAATTATTATTTTTTTGCAAAAATCAGCTGTGTTTCTCATCATCATCATCTATGTTATCTATGTTTCATATTGTTTTTAAGTTGGTTGACAAATCGATCTTCCCGAATTCGAAATTATTGTAAATCGATTCTTCAGGTTCGTATCGATTCGAAGAATGATCTATTTCGGGTAGAATCCCTAGTTTTCGGCAATTGAAACGTGCACAATGCAAGGGCGAAACTGGTGATAATTAAAGTAAATTACACAATCAAGCATGCATTTTTCTAACTCGAAACCGACAACAGAGAGAGACTGGTGATAGCCAATGTAAATTGCCCAATCAAGCAAGCAACTTTAAGTATCCAACAAAACAAAAAAGTATGAAGATGAATGATAAACCTTTATGACCAAATGCAAATACTTATGATCAATAAGAGACTTAGATCTCATGTCTCGGGTCGGCATTCTCTCTGATAACCACTTAAAACCGGCTATGTAACAAATAATATAATATTTATACCATTAAACCGTAATTGTCCCCAAATATGATGTTTTACGAATGAAAAGTATTTAAGAGAATATAATCTTTAAAATAATACCGATAAGGTCGAATAATGAGGATGAGACATGTACCACTCACCAGGATTACTTTGTTCAGTTAGTAGCGGATCAAACGCTTCTAGCACACTGACTCTTACGCTACCTTGACTGCCGTTCGGGTTCCGACCACCAAAGTCGATCAGGTTCATTGATTTAGGGAGACTTCCTACTGTGTCGTTTGATTCGTTGGACTGTAACAAGCATTAGAAAATTCAACCTTAGTTGTGTATCATTAAGGCACGTTTACGTATGCACCGGTACAGACGACATTAACACGTTGACTGCCATGTAGGTCACCGGTGCCCTACGCGGCCCACTGAAGTATTTATATCGATTTCGGTTACTAAACGTCTGAGTTTGTTAATGTATGTATTTTAGTCTTTTAAGATTTTCAGTACCTTCGTATTCATCTTTCCCAGAATCTACTAGATATTCCGGCACCTTAGAAGATCGAAGAGAGAAATCGACATAAATAATTCAGTACGCCACGTAGGGCACCGGTGACCTACATGGCAGTCGACGTGTTAATAACGTTAAAATAAGTAACAAAAGTTTGTATTCTATTAACGGTATTGCTGAATATAGTTTTAGCGCTCACCCCTATGCTAACTTCAGACGATTTCCTCGAGCTATTACTGTCGATGCTGTCCCTTGACGGTTCCGTTTTAACGATCGTCTGTGTGGTGTCGTTGCTTTTGTTTTGCGGCTGGTTCGAGTTCGGCGGGTAAGCGTGGGCCTGACTCAGCTGCGGGTACAAGTTCGAAATAGGCCTCGGCGGACGAGATATCATGTTCGTCGTGTTGTAATTGTACGCCGGTGGATATCCATAGTTGGGAGTGACGGGAGCCGACATCCGCGTTTGGCTGTATGGAACGGAATACATCGCCGGGTTCCCTGGCACGTATGCGGGCGGCGTCTCCGGTGGTGCAGCTATGGGCGGCGTGTAATACGAATAATTCGGCATGGGTGATGGCATGCCGTAGGGCGCGGAAGACGGGTATGGAGGCATCACGTTGTAAGGGGGATAGTTGTAGTTGTATTGCGGCGCGTAAGGATAACCGGGCCTTTGGTTGTACGGATGATTATTCATGATTACAGGCGATTGTTCTGTCAAGTCTTCAGTTTTTTGACCTAGTCTGAAAGAAAACGGATGAACTGTAAAACTTTATTGATATAATCATGACACACAAATATTTATTATATCATTTTTATTTATCAAACTTTTATCTTTATGGTAACAGACTGCCTAGAATCTTATATAAATTCTTCTTTTAACTAGAACTAATCTCCGGCATTATCGAACTACTAATGACGTTCTCCGTAGATCAACAAAAGCAAAGACTCATTCAATTCTTAATCCTTATGTTGGGTACTAGTGTTTTTATGACCCCAACGGATTTCGGCCATTTTTACTGCGAATCGGTCAGACGTTTCGAAGACTTCGAGTTGTATGTTAAGATGTGCGGTGGCATCCTTGATCTAAGGGCTGATAAGCCTACAGTTATTTTGCTCACACTGACAAAGAAGTTTCCGCTTATTGAAACATAGCATCTTACTTGTTGATCTGGTCTATGTATTCTTTGAGTGACGCATGTGGATCTTGCGGTGCTGCCTTGCTGGTTGGACTTGCAAACGAGATCAGGTCACTGCTCTCGTCCCTGGTGGGACTCGCCTCAGATGACCTATAGTAAAGTTGCATTTAATTAAACTAATGTTTGGAAGAAATGCCTGATGAGGATATGTTGATTTAGAACGTAGAATTATTACGAAAAAGCTTTCAAATTCATGTTTCAGCCACAAGTTTCTCATACCGGATACCGAAAAATCATTCATTGTGTTATTAATAGAAATTCTTGGACTCGAAAAATTTATATTTTATTACATTTCTTGGCCTGTACGCATTGTAACACGAGTAAAATCAGGCGACACGATGGTCTGAAGGTCTCATATGACACTCAAAGGGCGGGGTTGCTTTAGTTCCAATTCGAACTTGCTAAATCGATAAATATTTGTGCCTAAATCAATACTTTTCTGTTGGAATTAAGATAGTTAAAACACAATGGAATAGCAAGCTTCTTGGTAAACAGTTCCATTAGACGTTGAACAATACGAAATTTACACAAAATTGACTACCTTGGAGTTTCGGAATTGGATCGTCCACGAGGTGGTTTCCGCGGAGGTGGCGGCAGCGCTGGCGGGGGCCCCTCGTCCTCTCTGCGACGATAATTGACAGTGCCCAACTCCCGTCCATTATCTACGCAATCATATCGCGCAATGATAAAGCACCATCCAATCGTGACAAACGTTTCACATGTTTTTATGAGATTAATTATATCTACCGTTATCGCTATGTACTATTTCGTATTTATATTGTTTTGGGTTTTTTTTTAAGCGACCCATTTGTTTATTTGGTATTTTCACTTGTAATACAAACAATCAACATCGTTTTACAATTTATACACTTCATTATTATTCACTAGCGACCCGCCCTCGCTTCGCTTCGGAAACATTAAAACACAAATGAAAAAAAAAATTAAAGAAGTAGCCTATGATCATCAGGGACAATGTCGGCTTCTAATGGAAAAAGAATTTTTCAAATCGGTCCAGTAGTTTCGGAGCCTATTCGAAACAAACAAACAAACAAATCTTTCCTCTTTATAATATTAGTATAGAAGTATAGATATAGATAAAGTAAGACGAATGAAACTGTGTAGTATATAAGTAATATATATGTATATAATTGTTTTATTTTCAATTATGATTAAAAAACTGTAAATATCTGTACGAGTATGTGTCTAAGTAATTATAAATATTGATGTATGATTTATTGCGCAACTTAAGAACGAAATGTAAAATGTATTTCTAAAATTTGATGAATTTGAAATTAAAGCAATAAAAAACACTAAGCATTAAATTGGCTCGATTATCGCTTATACAGATAAAGAAAAGTTGCCATCTGAGTAATAGAATGCACGACGAAAAGCAATAGAGGTTTCTGTACATATACAATGGTATAAGATGGATCGTGTCAAAATATACAATAGTGTGCATCGTAAAATATTGTATTGAAGGTAGATGAAATAAAGTAAACTACTTTAAGGGACTTTAAGGTTTAAAGGGTACTTTAATTATGATATGATTGAAAGATTACTGGTGACCCGGAGGCCTTTCTAGTTTCACCAGGACAGATGGGCGAGCAAAGGCTCAGCTAGGAGGGGTGGGATTTGCTAACAACTGCCCGAGCGCCTCCGAAGGAGACCTGACAACTCAAGAGCAGTTGCTTCGCGAATGAATCTACTACCGGATCGGAATCGCGACCCGCTGAGAAGTTCCGGCGAGAAACTCAGCAGGCTGATGCATGGGTTAGGTTGCACGTCGACCTCTTTGTCGAGTTCGACGAGTACGGTTACCGAGGTCCCTAAGCCTGCTCCTAGTGCTAGAGCTGAAGACGTCTAATGCAAAGGTTATTGGATCTGATGGATCCATAAGGACGTGTCTAAGGCATCGACGGTGACTGGCTCCTGCATGATCAGAATTCGGGGAGTAGTCAGCGGCGGCAACGATACTTTAATTATGTACCGGTGTGTAGTGTGAACAATATTTACATCACAGTGTACTTTACAAAAAAAAAAACGAGTAGCAATTTCAGATTCTAAGATACCCGATCATTAATGTATCATAATCATTGGTAATGTAAGTCACAATTATCACGATTGCATTAATCAATGCCCCATATACAAGAAGCGGTTGGTTGACCTTACACTTCCTTTCATTGATGCTTTGCTTCAGTGCGGCTCGTCGAAATGATGCCGGCTAATTTCTGTTGTTTTCACAAGTTCAATTGAACCAATAAGTGGACTGACTCACAACAACAAGGCTGCTCTGTGTCGGAAGCATTCAATCATCTCAAACGCGCTTTGAATGGAAATTTAGATGGATTTCGCAAATTGTTCGATGATTATTGTTTTGATACGAAAAAATTATGCCATTTATAACATCTAGTGTCGTATCATTCAACTTATTATTAATTAGATTATTCCTACAATCAATTGAGCTTTCGACCTAAATTGCCTATTTCTGCCGTGTAGCAGTAATGCTTTCCGGTTTGAATGATGGAGCAGCCGTGATACTATAAAACATAGAACTCATGTCTCAAGATGGATGGCGCAATTTACGTTGTTGAAATCTATAGGTAACGACATGACATAATTTTGTTGTGAACTGAGATAAGTATGTTATGTACCTACATCTATGCTTTTTTTATGGCTGAGGAATTACTGGTGGCCCAGAGGCCTTTCCAGTTTCACTAGGACAGGAGGGTGCACATGTATGCTATGAACTCATCATAACATCATTTATTTATTTTTCTCAAAATCATAAACTATAGTTCACCATTTTCTTTTCCTGCCTATTCGCTGGTAGCCTAAGGGGCTGTGGGTCGCAGGTCACCAGTTTGGGGAGGCTTAAACGACGAAAGGAAGATCTTCCACCGAGCGGGTGATATTGCTCGGTAGACCGACGGTCCTAATGTTGTTGTTCGGAACTTGTATATATACAAGCTTGTCTTGTAAATGTCGTAACCAAGATTCAGGCATCTGTCATATATCTTGTGTTGTATGATGGCTACCCGCCACAGGGCTATACCAGCTTCGCAAACTGGTAGGTGAGCTCACGGGTTCAATCTGAGAGAATATGCTAACACTAGCCCTAGCAAGAGCCTTGCTTCGCAGAATCTACCACCAAATCGGAATCGCGACCCACTGAGAAGATCCCGGGACAAACTCAGTAGTCTTTGACTAGTAAAAGTAGAAAGACGAGAAAAAATAATGAAAAAATATATGAGTCGTCTATTATCAAAGGGTGCAATCTGTGCATTTGGACAAAAAATTGTTATTGATATGTCAATACAGATTGATTTAAATATAATCGTCTCCTTCAAAGAATACGGTTCAAAACCTGCATTAAATAAAGGTTAATACTTAACCTGTTATTTATCTAAGATGTCGTTCAGAAGAGTTTTGTGACTGCCAATGGAATACAAAGTCAATAATTCGTTTTTCTGATTTACCAATAATTGTCCAAAAGTCACATTGCCGGCTTTGATAATAGTCGACTCATATGTGAGGTGAATATTAAAGTTTAAAAAAACTAAAGAATCACTTCAAATCACACACAAACATTATACTATCTCCACCCATTAGCTAAATTATATGTTTTTCAAATTTAAACACTATTAAACATTGTGGCACAATTAAATAGTGTTCACGACAACAGATAAGTTATCACAATTCTAATAGCTGTCTTCTGTGTGGGACTCTAAAATTATAGTGCTGCTCCATGGTAGATTCAAACTGAGCTTTATAGAGTGGGTCTTTGTACAGATATGAAGTACCATGACACTCAGAACTCAACTTAGCGGTACCTTGCAAATAACTTTAAAATTCAACACTGTTTCAATTAGTAAAACCCAACAATCCCAAATACTTCAGGAAGTTCACAGGGATACTCTACAGAATTACTAATAATAAATGTTCCTTCCTCATAGTAAAATACAAACTGAATTCGCCAATTTCAATTTGCATAGTTTAATAACCGATTCCAGAGTTCTCTGATTCAGACACACTTTGAACCATGCACTGTGAGAAACTTTAGTGGGCAGTATACTTTCGTCGACAGGGCAATAAAAACCATAAGCCCAATAGATAGCATTTCATTAATATGCAGAGTCAGAAGAATACCACTGTACCATGTTGTCTGCTAAATACCTGTTACAATTTATGATTATGGAAAAATCATTGACAAGAAAAAAGACAAAAAATGGCACCACATCTTGCCCTCTCCAAGAATCCATATTATTAGATAGTTTTCAATGAGCAATAAAAATCATTATTTATGACATATCTAATGTTAATTTTCAAATTATCAATAAATCCCTTCCTCATTAATAGTTCATTATTTATATCCTTCTGTTGTGTACAACCTCACATCTTGCCTGATGTAAGTGGTTACAGGAGTTCAAACAGCAGTAATGTAAATGAAACCACCCCTCTTTAGGCTTCTAAGTCTCAGTTTTATAGTACAGCTACCTCTCCCTTCAAATGCATTACTGCTTCACAGGAGAAATAGGCAGAGCAATGGGAAGTAGCCGGGTGGGCTCACAAGATGCCCTACCACCAGTAGTGAATTATTTTAGTTATTTGGGCCCAAAACTGCCCAACAACTATATTAAAAACATTTAATCAGGAAAAGGGGGCAGAAGGTGCTAGTGCTTTGCAACTGCTATAATTTTCAAAGAAAATTTTCTTACACCTTGTATCTTTGATTACTTTATTAATCTATTGTTTGAGTAACTAATCAGTTTGTTTTAATGATATGTCGTCACAAATAGATCAAGAATTATTACAAACTACCTACCTAATAAGTTAGATAGTACCCGCGCGAGCCAAAATCAAACAGAAGAAGAAGAAGTTAGATAGTAGATTTCCTCAAATATAAAACTATCATCATTATCCTGCCCTTTTCCCAGTCACCTGGGGTCGGCGCAACATGTTTTCTCCTTCCATACTCTTCTATCATATACCATTTCTTCGCTCACTCAAATATAAAACTAGTTCATTAGAAATTTTCGGGTGGAGACCTTGGATAATCGGTTATCTTAGGTAAACAAAGTTACGTCAAATACCTGTGCTAGAAAGAAGCTTCTGCCTTCGAAATTGTTCTAGCGCGAGACTTTCTAAACTCAAAGCCTGCGCCTTTTCTAAATCCGCTTGAAACTGAAGATCGTAGTCAGACATTATCTAAATTCATTTATAACATTTCTTAAAAATCACAGTATACGCGTGGGAATTAAAAAAACACGATTAAATATAATGATGAACACACATCTCAAAAAGAATATATTATTGCGTGGGATTTGTTGAGAATCGCGGCACAATTACAACCAACGTCAGTTAACTAAAATGCAAACCCTCAAATAACGCTTGTGTTGTTTAATTTTCACTCCATATTTCAATTTTAGCAGATTTCAACTCAGTTTTTATTATTTTCTTTTACTATGTCAAGCAAAATGTTTGCATCATTCAAACTAATTTATAATCATAAATTGTATTTCAAATTGTCAAAGTTTGACGTAGAAGTGTGACGTTTTTTAGCTTGAATTTCTTGATGCGAAAAAGAGACAGAACTGAGAAAATGTGATAGCTCTTATCGTTTGCTTTTTGTTGGGTAATAATAAGATGCGAAAAGTTGATAACATGTCGAATATTTTTAAATCGACTAACAGCGTTGTAAACTGTCAAGCTTAGCACTTGTATCGTTTATTCTAGCTAAATCCTTCAAATCAAATCTTCATTTACATAATTTGTTGTAAAATGCCGAAGACTTACCTGTTAAATGTAAAACTTAATTAAATGCGTAGTAAAATGAAATCAAATAATCACTTAGGGCAACTTTGGTGTTACTGGAGCCCATAGACATATACGACGTAAATGCGCCACCCACCTTGAGATAGAAGTTCTAAGGTCTCAAGTATAGTTACAACGGCGGCCCACACTTCAAATCGAAACGCATTACTGCTTTACGGCAGAAATAGGCGGGCTGGTGGTACCTACCCGCGCGGACTCACAAGAGTCATAGTCACTCACCTACCGGCAAAAACAGGAGATTGAACCTCGAGTAGCGCTCAGTAAATCCAAGGCCATGTGATTCCACAGGCCCTGGAGAGTGCCACCTGTCGATGCCAATATCGTGGTTGGAGGCGTCCGTATCGGGGTAGGGGTGCAGTTGAAGTACCTCGGCTTTATTCTGGACAGTCGTTGGACCTTCCGTGCTCACTTTCAGAGCCTGGTCCCTCGTTTGTTGGGGGTGGCTGGCGCGTTAAGCCGGCTTCTGCCCAACGTTGGGGGGCCTGACCAGGTGATGCGCCCTCTCTATACGAGGGTGGTGTGATCAATGGCCCTATACGGGGCGCCCGTGTGTGGCCAGTCCCTGGCCGTGGGGGGGGGGCGAAGCTGCTGCAACGGCCGCAACGCACCATCACGGTCAGGGTCATCCGTGGTTATCGCACCATCTCCTTTGAGGCAGCGTGTGTACTGGCTGGGACGCCACCTTGGGCTCTGGAAGCGGAGGCGCTTGCCGCTGACTATCAGTGGCGGGCTGACCTTCGTGCACGGGGCGTGGCGCGTCCCTGCCCCAGTGTGGTCAGACCGCGGAGGGCCCAATATCGGCGGTCCGAGCTAGATTCATGGTCCAGACGGCTGGCTGATCCTTCGGCTGGTCGTAAGACCATCGAGGCGATTTGTCCGGTCGTTGTAGATTGGGTGAATCGTGACAGAGGACGCCTCTCTTTCCGGCTCACGAAGGTGCTCACTGGGCGTGGTTGTTTCGGTGAGTTCCTGCACCGGATCACAGCCGAGCGTCGGCTCGCAGAGTGCCACCATTGTGGTTGTGAATTGGACACAGCAGAGCATTCACTCGTCCGCTCGTCGCCTGCCCCGCATGGGAGGAGTGGCGCCAGGGTATTCCGTAGGATAATTCACTCTAACCGGCGCCATACAAGCGGGCTTCGGATAGCCTGCCGACCGAGAAGGCTGGTGGTCGTGGCACCGACGACCGCCGGTCCGGCGTCCTGAGGGGGAGGAAGATGGGACTAATGTGCTCCGCACTAAGCGCTTCACTTTCCCCCCTTTGCCTTTTCATGAGTTCTGTCTCATGCGAGGTTTGGACGTTGGTTGTTGAGCGACAGGAGGTTTTAGTCAGTTCGACTTTGACATGCCCCGCCCTTCATCCCCAGTGGAGAGCGGAAGTCCAGCGATTTCCTCCTGACCAAAAAAAAAAGAGACCACGACGACTTCGACGACTATATTTTTATAGAATACGAGAAATTACGCGGAGCTATTTAGTTTAATTCTTTACATTCGCCCATCTTCACAGACGCAAAATTGTAAAATTAGCTGTATACTTAAAATTAGCTGTATATTAGCTGTATAATAACACACGTTTAAATCTGAAGAAACACTAAAGTACATGAAAAATGTTTCATAGCATTTCTGTCAAAAAGCATCTGTTAGTCGATTGTAAAAACGTAACAGAACACATAAAAATGCACTTTTAAAACAAATATTAACTTGCCGTTACATTGCTTGGTATCTATTTCGTCTTTTATATATGGAAATTGGTGCTTGTGATGGAAATTGGGATTATGATTTTTTCTACCTATTCGCTGGTAGCCTACGAAGCTATTTCAGCTACGCCCGAACAGCTAGGTGAGCTCACGGGCTCAACCCAAAAGAATTTGCTGACACTAGCCCAAACAAGAGCAGTGCTTGGCAGAATCTACCACCGGATCGGATTGCGATCGACTGAGAAGATCCGGGGAGAAACTCAGTGGGCTGTGTCTACGGGTTATTTCGTTCGTTAAACCCTTTCGTTCGACCGTACTACACGTTTGAACCTGCAGAAACAATAAATTAATAAAATAAAACCACACACCGAAAGAGTCTTAACAATTTGGTTTTTTTTACGCCGGAAGGATTACTGGTGGCCCTTTTCAGTTTCACCAAGACAGGTGGGCGAGCAAAGGCTCAGCCAGGACAGATGGGATTTCCGAACGGCTGCCCGAGCGGCTCCAAATGAGACCTAAGAACTCAAGAGCAGCTGCTTCGTGAATGAATCTACTACCAGTTCGGAACCGTAACCCGACGAGAAACTCAGCGGGCTTGATGTACGAGTTCCGTTACACGTCGAACTCTGCGAAGTTCGGCGCATGCGGCTACCAGAGTCCCTAAGCCTGTTCCCAGTGTTAGAACTGAAGTCGTCTTATGCAAGAATGGATCCGTAAGGACTAGGGTGTCGAAGGGACAGGCTCCTGCGTGAGCGGGAATTGGGGAGTACTCAGCGGCGGCAACGTTAAGATGATTATCATGACGCATATTCTTATTAAAGTACCTTTCCGACGCTGACTTCAGGCATTTCCGGATCGATTCAAGACCCAGGTCGTCGTATAAGTCGACCTTACCATTACCGACTACCAACTAGCTTTGTTTACAATTTACGGCTTGGCATATGTATAAAAAATGTACTGAATGGCCTATAAGACACTGTTACGGTCATAAAAAAGACATTGTTAGATATAGTTACAATATTTAAAAAATATGACAATAAATTGCTATAGATGGAATTTCTTTATTTTAGCTTTCAAGTTCATTGAACAGATTGTCACATCAGAATCTCGTCATAACTGAGGCATATTACTTTTTATTTCTTTGGTAATTCTTTTAGCTGTGTAATTTAATTATACTTTTCTACTCAGATGTATGTTGTTTTTTTCTACAGCAGGATTTTTTATAGGAGAAGTATATCTTGATTTTTTATTAGAATGAATTAATTTTTTTTCACAGTTCAAGGTATCAGCTGGTGGCGAAAGTTGTCGCTGAGTTTTAATTTTACGCTTTCTTCTCAATAATTTGTTTTTCCGCGATTTTCTATCGATTTCTTTCGAGCATGGTGAGTGATCGTCTTCAACCGCCTACAAAATAATCTGGAATTAAGTCTAAATAAATAACGGCGAAACTGTGATGTTCAGTTACAAATACCTTAGGAGACATACTATAGAAGCCAGTAGAGCTTAAAATTTTTCCTTCCTATTATTATGTATTTTTTTCCTGCCTATTCGCTGGTAGCCTAAGAGGCTATTCCAGCTATATTATGTATACAAAATTACAAAAACAAAGACAATCACGTTTAACAATTAAACAAAACTTACCTGATGATAAAGTATGTCGTCGGCGTCTTGTCGATCGCAAAATTCTAAAATTTTATTGCAAACTGTTCGCAAGTTTTTAATGCGTTCCTTTTTCTTTTTGCCAGCAATAGATCTATCTAAATCGTCAAGGCGGAGGGTTCTATATTCAGAAAAAAAAAACTTTGCATATTATTACAGTTTCGTGTTAAAACATTCCTTTTGTTTTCAAATTAAATTAGATCCTAAAAATAAGCGTTTTTTTTTATTTTATTTTTTATTGGTTAGATGGGTAGACGAGCTCACAGCCCACCTGATATTAAGTGGTTACTAGAGCACATAGACATCTACAACGTAAATGCGCCACCCATTTTGAGATATAAGTTCTAGTCTCAAGTATAGTTACAACGGCTGCCCCACCCTTCAAACCGAAACGTATTACTGCTTCACGGCAGAAATAGGCATGGTGGTGGTATAGGTAGGCTCGCGCGGACTCACAAAAGGTCCTACCACCACTAAACAACCGTAATCATCCAACGCCAGTACAAAAAGCCCACCCGTAACATAAAATATCAAGAGGAGCGTTTCATAGGATACAGCGCGAAGGAAAGCCTACTACGAATTGATTATAGAGAAGTACTTTCGCGTTTATATTCCCAATATATTATTTCCTTCACTCAGTTTCAGCTCATTATACTAATGTAATTAAATCGAACAACATAAGGACAGTAAAAAACGTATGGATATACGGCAATAGTAGTTTTAAATTGAAAGTAGTAGTCGCGAAAAACGAACAAAATACTAGAGAAGCGGGTATGTGTTTAATAGCAGCGGTTTGTCATGTTGAAACCTCTGATTAATTGACTTAAATCTACCAATGAAACTAACTTGATGACTCTTGGCTTGTTCGTGATTTCGTTGTCTTTTAAATCCATATTGGACGCTGTGATCCATATATCTTTGAATAACTGTCGTCGCTCAGCGTAACTTTCCTCTTTAGTCATCCCCTCCATTATGAACAGGAGTGGCTTTAAACAACCCCCTTCATGATATTGTTTACATAAAAATATGAGACTGAGATCTATTCATGATTTTTGTAGTATTAAGTTGTTATTCAAATTGTTTTTAATTTATTTACATATTTATTATTAAGAACAGTGGAACATGGTGATTTGTAATCTAATTTGACATTGTCACTAAACGTTATAAGCGTTTGATTGTCAGTTGATTTTCATTATAGAGCACTAAATTAAAGAAATCTACTTTTAAGGACTCGTACGCACTATTTACGTTACAATGGTCCCTGTGCCTGCTCCTAATACTGGGAGCTTTTTTTTTATTGCTTTTCAAATTTTATTTATTTATAGCTTAGATCGGTGGACAAGCTCACAACCCACCTGGTGTTAAGTGGTTACTGGAGCCCATAGATATCTACAGGTTAAATGCGGCACCCACCTTGAGATATGAGTTCTAAGATCTTAGTACAACGGCTGCCCCACCCTGCAAACCGAAACGAATTACTGCTTCACGGCAGAAATAGGTGGGGTGGTGGTATCTACCCGTGCGGACTCACAAGAGGTCCTACCACCAGTAAGCTGCAGGCGTCTTATGACAATATTAGTGGATCAGAAGGATCCGTAAGAACATCTCTAGGGCATCGACGGTGACTGGGCCCTGCGTGAGCGGGAGTGGGGAGTAGTGAGCGGCGGCCGCGATGAAGTGATTTTCATGACACATCGCCTTACCGAAGTACCGTTCCAACGCTGACTCTTTACGAAATAAAAGAAAAACAAAGAAAGAGGTACTGGGTGCATTCTCATTTACAAACACGAGATAAGAGCAAGCATTTTGAAATATTTTTCAAATAACTAAAAGTATGTAAATGTTTATGAAATATGTATTTTACAACTTCCCATAATGAGGTAAAACTCAAAGAATAGAGGTTCAGATAGCATGTAAACTACCTCATGCAAATTAAGATGTAGTGATCTTCTCGTGGCAGTTGTTATCGACACGAGCGTTGTTCCTCTTAGTCGGCTAGTAGTCTGGATGACGCCAGCCTTCTGTCCTACCAGCTCTACAGTCTACGTTATACTGGCTTCCTATGTCAATGATACCGAAACGCACACACCAACGTCGAACAAGTATCAATCAACCTGCAGTCCGATCCGGAATACCAAATATCTATCACAAAGCTTGACCGGAAGAATCTGATCTCATGATACCGCAGTCTGGGTCACTGAGCTCGATCTAGATAAGGACCACGTTTTTACAAAGCAATCTTTATCGTTAAGATTCTATGGCCTGAATTGGTGTACAACTTTTACTTGATTTTTATATAGTGGGTTCATAACATTTTATACCTATATAGTCTTAAAAGATAAACAATTGTTATATAAAACATGTGTGCTGTGCAACAAGTCGCCACGGATCGGTCGATCGAGGCTGTATACTTTCAGTTTCAGTGTGGATTCAGTGGCGAACGGCAATCAACAGAACAACCCATCTCCCGAAAAAAAAAACGTTTTCTCTTAATACAACAAAATAATAAAATTCGACAATAGGTTTTTTCTACGTGAAGATATCGGGACTATGTTTGTGCTGTATCTATTAGATGAGTTTCTCAATTTAAAATGCTAAAAAAATGCCTGAAAAATACGACCCGAACGCGCTATGGGTTGCTCTCAGTCAATATGGGAATGGGAATATTTTTCAAGTTTATCCAAAACTATTGGCGCAACTTCTGCTGCAAGAAGAAGCGGCCAGACAGGACGGAGACACGAGTGAGGCGGAGAGGCTCATACTTCCCAGTGACAAGGAATGGAGGCTTCAGCAATACTTCAGTCTTGTAGCGTTACAAAAAAACTTAGAAATGCAAGTAAAAATAATTACGATAAAATATTAAATATAAGGTGCTTTTCAGGATATTATCAAAATTACCACCCTTCTACTCATATCTGTTCATAAAATATTTATAACTACTGATACCATGCACCCCACGTCTTTTTTTACAGTAAAATAATTTTTTCTTACACTATTTTTAATTCAAATTTATTATAATTTATTTTCTATTTTTTAGTTGGATTTTCTATAAAAGCGAGTGTTGTTAGTTTTTTAAACAATTATTTATTTTTTAGTTGAATTTCAATTTTTTCAAATTTTTTATTATTTTAAATTGTCAGTAAGTGTACCAAATTTCGTGTTAATCCGACGTTTTGAAGGGGGTCAAAATCATGTTCAAAGATTCCATTACAAGCCTACATACCTACCTACGTCTGAAGCGAATAAAAGCTTATTAAAAAAAAAGATAATACATTAAGGCCTAATTCAAGTGCGCTTATGATTTTTATTGAACCTTTTTTTTTCGACCATAGTGTACATTATGATTGAATGTTAAGTAAAGAATCAAAACAATAATCACTCGCGTTTGAAGTCAACGGATGAGACTGTACGTGTCAAAGGAAAACCAAAAAAATCGTTTTAAAATTTTCAGTAACTATATGAAAAAATAAATACATAAAAATACTCGTTTCATAAAATTATTCTTATTATCAGTTCGAATGCACCGTAGTCATGCCTCTAAAAACCAAATCAATAACATGAGGCCTATGATTCTCGAAGATAGGACCGCTTTCACCTCTTTGACGTAAGTCGCATTAAATGTAACTACTACTAGTAACTTAATTCATCATTGGTCATCTAATATATAAAATTCTCGTGTCACAATGTTCGTTCCCATACTCCTCCGAAACCGCTTGACCGATTCTCATGAATTTTTTTATGCATATTCAGTAAGCCTGAGAATCGGCTACTATCTATTTTTCATACCCCTAAGTGATTAGGGTTGTCCACCCCTAACATACTTTTTTTATTTGGACATTTGTTTTTGTTATAGTGAGGTATTATGTGGTTGAATGAGGTTTTGTTATTTTTATTATATATTCCCTCATCGTTCACAGCACTACATACCTCTTTCACTCATTTACCACATCCTTACACACTTACAATAAGTTAGATTTTTTTTCTACACTAGAAATTCCCTAGAAATCTTATATATGGCAAAACAATGTTTGCCGGGTCAGCTAGTAATTACATAATAAATTCATTTCCATACCCATTTATTTTTATATTTATTACTGATGCTTAGAGATACTGAAACTATAAAGCCCGTCAATGTGTTAAGCATATGTGTATGTTGAAATCAATTTCAATTTTAATAATAATAATTCGATTAACCTTGACGCCTCTGATATTCTTGACTTTCTGGGGATAGAGGCTCTCCGAGTAGTGAAGACATTTATTTACATACGATAGTGCCGAAGACTTTTTTCCTATCCACTGTATTTGTAAATTGTATCAGCTACAAGCTCATCTTATGGCATGTAGGTACCTACGCAAATATGAATACCTATCGGAGTTTAAAGGATGACAGTTAATTTATTTTATCCGATGTCTTGAAATCTGTCCAGCATGGCTTTCATTGTTTTTGAATTAATTTCGAACAAGTCTTCTGAAAGTGAATATTATAAGTATAATAATAAGATATTATATTCCTTGTTTTTTAAATACACAGTAATGATGACTCTGAACAACAACAAAAACCGGTAGAAGAACCACCGGAGGAATGGGCGCCGTGGAGCTTCGTGGTGCCTGCGAAAAATCCTCATGCACCACCACCGGTTTCCGTTAAAACTACCGGCCCAGTTTGGGACATCGGACAGGTTATTTATTTTAAGTTATGATTGTAATATACCTATTATGTATATTGATAGCATTCTGACAAAAACCAAAGTACAAAGTTAATACTTTATATGTGCTACTAATAACTAACTAATATAAGTGCTAATATTTTTCTAGTACATATTACGGGTATTAAAACATTGACAATGTGTATTTTTTTTACTTAAAAGCCTTTGTCTGTTCAGTGACAAAATAAAGGTCATACACTAACCCTATCCAGGAAATCAACCAAACGAGCGAATACCGTTTACTGCATTAATGAGGGACAAATCAACAAACACACTTTTCTATACTAATATTATAAAGAGGAAAGATTTGTTTGTTTGTTTGTTTCGAATAGGCTCCGAAACTACTGGACCGATTTGAAAAATTCTTTTTCCATTAGAAGCCGACATTGTCCCTGATGAACATAGGCTACTTTTTTTAATTTTTTTTTTTTTATATTTTTGGTTTCATGTGTGTTTTAATGTTTCCGAAGCGAAGCGAGGGCGGGTCGCTAGTTCATTCATAATTATATGATTACTTCATAGATATCTTTAACTACAAAGAATACGATAATAGAGTTGCATTTTAAGATACTAGTCTTTCCGGGAATTAAACTTAAGAAACGGGTATGCCTCTTCGAACTACATTAACAACTTATTAACTAATTATTCCGACGTCTATTAAATTTGCGATTTAATAAATCTAGATCTTATTTCCTAAGATACCAATTTGTACGCTAATGATTATAAAGGATTTCTCTTCTAAAAAGATTTGTTAGAACGTTTGAAATGTGAACATATTTTAATATTATATCTACTGTATTATTATGTAACTGGTACCTACGCTATAAAAGCAATCAAAAGTCATGATTAATCCGAAATGAAACTGAAAGCCATCAACGTGTTAACCGGAGCGATAGAAGGTTAAAGTAAATTGAATCGAATCAAACACAACAGGCAATATTCGGAAATTACCTACATTGTCTTTGTCCGCATTCACTTGAACTACATTGAGAAGATAAGTTACTATTATATGAAAATATCGATATAAGTAATTAACTTCTTTACATTATCACAAAATCACAACGATTTTGCGTTTAATATTAACATTTCCTAGTGATTAGGTAGTGAAGACGATTCTCAAAAACCTATGAAACAGTTTTACTAACACTAGTATTCCTAGCACTAGGTATGTACTAGCAGGCGCTAGTACATATAAAAATAAACACGTATGTTTTTTGTGACAATGACACAATAAAAAAAAAAAGTGTTTAACTGGTTTGGTTTAT